TGAAGTATATCTATTTGCTGTCCCGACGGGTTATTTTTATGCTGTGCTTTCTGAAGAGAGGTTATGTTCAAAGTTATAACTTACGAAAAACTGAGGAGAATTACAGGAAATCATCACCGCGCCCGCGTAGTATGTAATTACTGTTAGCATATGTATATGGCTTGTAATTCGACAGTGTACAGTGAATATAATTATTTCTTAACTCTCTCATTGTTGCAATTCAGCAAAATTGTATATGTAATTTCCAGAATGGATAAGAAAAAGTGGATGCGCAACTACTTTCTAGCTTTGAATCTCAATTAAGTGTATTTGAGACAAGAACCCAATGTAATTATCATCAACACATACAAATTACAGCTTAGACCTCCAGTAAAGCAGATTTTACATCACATCAGTGTCAAAGATTGATAACAAGCGTCATGACGTTCAGGCAACACATATAACTAAGTGCTAAGGCCCGTATCGTCAGTCGTCCCTACAATTGTAGGGCGCCTTTATGGCCTCCTTGATTTTCATAGTTTTCTACTTCTCCGTGTCAGAACTCTATTTTGAGGTTATGTCACAAACATCTATTTGCATCAAATTGTGCTTACTTTTGAGTTATATCATGTTTTATCAGCCTGAAATTTCCTACAGTTTAAAAAGAAAACATATCTTCACATTAGGAGAGCGCTGACGCTGACACGGGCCAAGTGTAATCTAGAAATTTTTGAAGGAGAGAAAGGAGTATGACAACCCAGGAGGCCATAAACGCGCACTACAATTGTAGGGACGACTGACGATACGGGCCTAAGTCAAGGTCTTGGCGAGAAACCTACATAATGTCAAAAAAAAAACAGCAGAATGTCAAAAAAAATCGGCAGAATGTCACTTTGCAAGATACGTGATACCCGTGCGAAAAATGTTCAGAGTAGTCTCGAAACTCATGAAGGGAGTAGAGAAATTGCTAATTTTAAATTTACATGGTACATCGGTAATACCGTTTATTTTTAGATTACTAACTAATAACTGTTATTTTTATGTATTGTATTAAAGCAATACACATTTTAAAAATAAAATCAGGTTGAGCCTTATTTCTCTTAAAATATCTGGTATATAATTTGAATATTTAATTTAAATTTAGCTCCACAGTGTAAGAGGGAAGAATTGTATAACAATTCGTATAGGTTCTATAAACTGTTCGAAGTATATCCCAGGGATGACGCTACAAACTTAGTGACAAACCTTAACATAACAGATTCCCTTATAGGGTTATCGACTAAACGGGTTTGTGAAGGTTACATTCTAAAAAATTTGGAGACTTACATTAGCAGTCGAGTAAAGGCTCTAAAGGTGCGTGACCATTGTGGGGAAGAGATATGTTCATATGCATACAGATTTCAATCTGTGCGAGAGAAAATCGTTTTAGAAAAGATTGCGCTATAACGAGGTCCGCGACTTTCATCACTGTTGTTGCCAGTTGCCAGGCACCAACTTGTTTGGCTCACTCTAGCATACATCTTGCACGCTTCCTGTCTCTCTCTGTCTCGCACACATTAACACGTTGACTGCTATATCGGTCTCCCGAGACCGTTATCAAACTTCATTTTGATGTGGAGCTGTTTTTTCAAATTTCCGTTTTGGTGCGGAATGCATATTTCCCTTAATACAGGGTGTCCGCAAAGTTGGGGATTTCGTTTTCAGAAACAACTACCCTTGAAATAACAAAGGTAATGTGTAGTGAAACGAGGGCGACCAAGTAAAAAAAATAAAGGAAAAAGTACTCACTCTCCAGTTGACGAGAAGGGCTAAGTACGTCTCTGCCCGAAATCATACCGCTCCAACAGAAAATGAAATCAGCTGATGCGCTACCGAGCAGACGCAGAAACCACATTGATTGTCTTATACTTAATGGCACATCTTCTAACAAGGAAGGCAAAATGTTGCGTAAAAAGTCTAGGTATTGCATCCCGTCCAATCGATTTGGGAGAATAAATGGTCCAATGAGCATACCGTTCACCATGTCAGCCCAAACATTCACCGAAAATGTTTGTTGAAAATGTGCCCGACGGACAGCGTGCGGATTTTCTACTGACAAAACATGAGTGTTGCGAAAGTTATTCACCCCATTACGCGTGAACGTAGATTCGTCTGTCACCAATATGCACTTCAAAAAGTCCGGATTATTGTCATGTTGATGCAGCAACCACTCACAAAACCGCACTCTTGCTGGAAAATCGTCAGGTTGAAGGGCTTGTACACGTTGGACGTGATAACGGATACAGCCCCTCTTCACGCAGCGTTTGCCACACTTTAGTTTTTCTAGCCACGTCTCTAGTGCTTGTTGAGGGATTCTCGTCTACGTCGGTTGAAGGTTGCATACTGACCTGACACACTGACCCCGACCCAGTTCTGTCGTCGGGTTGAGACAGTGACCTTGTACCAGTCGGTGATGTCGCGGCTACAGGACGGTATTCAGATATTTTTGATGTTGCAGAGCCCTTTATCTCGGTTCCCTTAAGACATTGGTGTATATGGTACTAAGAAAAATTGCTTATGTTTTCAAGATCTACACGTCGTGTAAAGGAAAACCCCAACTTTGCGGACACCCTGTATACAAGTTATAAATGCGAGACGTAGCTATAAGATCGTGAGAACTGGTAGAGACGGAAAATTGTATAAAAACTATATCGGTCTCCGGAGACCTACATCGCACAGACATATCAAAATAATTAGTGGAGAGCGTTATAGGTCTCCGGAGACCCATGTATAATCATACGAACAAACGTATCTGATCCTGTTTCGCCGTCATTTGTGTAACGAATGCGAGTGAGTGAAGTTGTGTATTGGGTTCACTCATCAAAAATGTTTTCTTCTCGCGTTAAACAAATTATGAAAATAACTGAAGATCTACAAAATACTGGAGCAGTGCCCACAAATCCTCGTACACAAGCAAATATACATGAAAATAAAATTGAAATTGTTGAAGCAGAGTCATCAGACGACGGAGAACAAACAAATAATCCTGGAACAAGTTATGTTAAAAGATCCTATGTTCAGAAATGAGTTTATAGCAAAGACAATATCACGTGATAGATTTTTCCTTTTACTTCGATGTTTACATTTTTGCAACAACGAAGACCCATTTTCGTATACTAACGACCGGTTGTACAAAATCACAACAGTATTGGGAGTACTTAACAGGAACTTTCAAAATATTCTAACTCCTGGCAGAGTTCTGGTTATCGACGAGTCAATGGTTCCTTTCAGAGGTCGATTAAAATTTCGCCAGTATATTCCCAATAAAACGCACAAGTATGGTATCAAACTATATAAATTATGTGCTGTTGATGGATACACAATCCAAGTTATTATACAGGAAAAAATGAAAAGGTTGAAGGCCAACAGCATTCAGAAACGATGGTTTTAGAACTGCTAAAATCCATAAAAGCTAAAGAAGGACATTATCTTTTGGCAGATAATTTTTATAGCAGCTTGCCTTTAGCTAAAAAACTATTTGATGAAAAAATTGTCCACTGCGGAACACAAAATCTTTCCAAAAAATGTTGAAAAAGGGAAAGACGTATGGTCAACAAAATGGATGCGTTAAAATTATAAAATGGGTTGATAAACGGCCAGTTTTAATGCTGATACAGATCCTACTCATATCAGCACTGTCCAAGAAACTGGAAAAAAATCAAGAAAGGGTGAAGACATTCTAAAGCCCAAGTGTGTTACAGATTATAACAAAGCTAATAAAGGAGTTGATTATAGTGACCAGATGTTTTCATATCACTCCGTTCTATGTCAAGGCCTAAAATGGTACAGGAAAGTTATGAATGAATTTTGTATTTGGAACATGTGTCGTAAATGCCTGGATTATTTTCAACCGCATTTCAAAGAAGAAAATGTCGATAACCGAATTTAGAAAAACTTTAGCAGAACAGTTAAGAGATCCTCCTACAGTAGTTTCTGAACCAACAACGCGTAAAAGGATACACACTTTCAGAAAGCCAAGTGGCCCAGGAAGAAAAAAAAGAAAGATTTGCAAAGGATGCTATCAAAATCTTCGGACAGCACTAACAAGCGTGAAGCCAATAAAAAAAAGTCACCAAAGTAACGAGTTTTTGTGAAGATTGTCCCGGAAAACCTGGCATGTGTCTTCCTTGCTTTAATAAATTACACACATAATGGAAACCTTTTCTTGGCTTATATCTTTGAATTATATTGTATGGTTTTAGTGGCAAAATATTAAAATTTAAAATAAAATGAATGCTCCATAGTGTTCTTTTTATGCTTAAAATAAATCTAGCCATTGATGCGGTATAAGTCGTCAGCGACCTATACGGAGCCAGACTTACGTTCACCTAGAATAATATATTTACAGATGTCTGCAATAGTTTTCTGATTCTGGTTTGAACACAAAATGTTAGAGGGCTTTAGGTAAAGACTTGCCTATCGGACTCCGAAGACCGATACCGTGTCAGAACAATAGCATGCTATCGGTCCCGGGCGACTTATATCGCATTGAAGAAATAGTGTCATTTCTTTGCAACGCAGTCAACGTGTTAAAATGAACGAGGAAAAAGTCTATGTCTAGCATTGCGATGTGTCATCAGTGGGCGTGCGACTTAAAGCTTCCACCGTCTCTTGAAAATTCTCTCAGAAAAGTATCCACAGTTGTGGGGTCACACGATTTTGAACGCCAAAAAAGTTGCTAACCAAGATGTCAGGTGTAGACTTCGTTTTCTAGTTCTTTGGGATGAACGTGAGCGGTCTATGTATATTACTGATAATTTCGTCAGTGTCATTGAATTTCTACATAACCTTGTAATTACTGACGTCCAGGCCACAGTAAATACTGATCGCGTCACATTCGCCTATGGGGTTAGCCGCACAGCGTGAGAAAATTGATCCATGCAACACCAACAAACGATAAACAGAAGAAGCTTCAGAAGTTGGCATTGATCGCGTATCCAAACCTGTCAAGGAAGTAGGATAGTTGACTAGAGATAAACACATAGTAATAAACAATTTATTGTGTAAAGTGTCAGAATCACTAAATAATGAGAAAAAAAATACACAATTCCGATGTATAAATCAAAAATTATATACAAATAAACACAAAATAATAACAAAGAAGATTACAAATCATCTAGATCAACAGCTTCCATTTGAGGTGTCATGTTATCTACAGCTGAAGTTGTTTTCAATTCTTTTTTCTGATCTTTCGTCTCAATAGGGCTTCCTAGTTTCGCCCAAGCACCTGGTTCCGCTTTCTTCATTTTTATTTCTACTTTGGTTCCAAACATAGACACTTCACTGGCGTTCACGTCGATAATCTACAAAATTGAAAAGATATGTGTATAATGACCAAGGAATTCGGACTAAGTAGAACGAGGAAGCCTACGATTTACTTGTCATCAAAATCTCAGTCTGCAGTCATCATGAAAGTTCATACTACTGGGTGCGCCATCTATTACTTTTTTACCTATAAGTTTGTGTTACCATGTGAGTCAAAAGTCATGTGGTATGCATAAATGAACTGTCAAAGGTATGCCATTTATAGTCATGGCTTCGTTTACAACAAAACAACGCATTTTGGTTATCCAAACTTATTACGAAAACGGTCGAAATATAAAAAATACTTTTCGCAAACTTCGCACTAGTTTTAGCCGACATGGACGCCCTACAGAGCCTGGAATTCGTTGGATTGTTAATCGTTTTGAGGGAACTGGTTCAGATGAAGGTCGTAGACCATAACAACATGCTCGTCCAGCTCGTACTCGTGAAAGCATAGCCGCAGTGAGTGAAAGTGTGCGAGAAGATCCAAACACCTCGACTAGGCACCGTTCGCAACAATTGGGAATTAGTGAGACCACTTTACGCCGGATTTTACACATTGATTTACACCTCCATCCATAGAAAATCCAACTAACACAAGAATTGAAGTCGGCAGACCATCAACAGCGGCGTGTTTTTGTTAATTGGATGCTGGAAAGAGAAGACAGATTTTCGGCCAAAGTGCTCTTTTCTGGTGAGGCTCATTTTCACCTCAATGGGTACGTAAATAAGCAAAATTGCAGACTATGGGGGGCTGAAAATCGACACCCATATCATGAACAACCTTTCCTTCCTGAAAAAGTGACTATTTGGTGCGGATTATGGGCTGGTGGCATCGTTGGACCATTCTTCTTTGAAGATGCCGAAGAAAAGGCCATTACCGTCAACGGGGAACGTTATCGCGGCATGTTAACAGACTTTTTGTGGCCAAAATTGGATCGTATTGGTGCCGACGATCTTTGGTTTCATCAAGACGGAGCAACGGCATAATTTCACGAAATTCAGATGTCGGTTGGCCCCCGAGATCGTGCGATTTAACACCTCTTGACTAATTTCTTTGGGGATTTTTGAAAGGAAACGTGTATGCGAATGGTCCCCGGACAATTCAAGACCTGAAGCGCAATATTCGGACTGAAATTGCGGCCATAGACCCGATTATTCTGGGAAAAGTCATTGAAAATTTTGATGTTCGGATGTTGGCCTGTAAACGAAGCCGCGGTGGTCACATGACTGATGTTATTTTTCATACATAAATGGCATAAACCAACCTTCATTTATCAATAAAACAATTCGATTTCACCTCGTAAAAAGCGTGTTGATTTATCAAATAGAAAAAAAAGTAATAGATGGCGCACCCTGTACAAGTGGACTGGACATAAGTTACTTGTTTGACAATTCGTACTTTTGTATCAGTATATCGAACTCAAATGAGCCTATGTTGAGAATTAAATCGCTACTTGTCAAAAATTTTCGTTTTTCTATTGTAGGCTAAGTGCTTATCGGACAGCACTCGAACAATTGGAATTCAATATGTCTTTACAATCAGTATTTAATTCTGACAATGTCACTGGACTTCTATGTAACCTTATACATCAATAATTAGGGATGTCCTGGCTACACAGTCAATAAACAATACATTCCATGGCAAACACTGACTGAGCGTCGGATTTGATTTTCAAGAAAAACACAATTTCTTTTAATTAAGCGAGTATTTATATTACAACATGAAGAGGAATAGTTGCGATTAGACATGAAACAGGTCATCCGGACAATGGTCACCATGAAAGCTCTGGCACAGGGTCAGTCTTTTCTTAAAATTTCTAGATAGATAACGTTTTCGCACAACTGTGGCTCTGTTTCGTCGATAACGCGCCGTATCTCTTCTTTAAGGCGTTCAACTGTTTGTGGCTTGTTCGCATACTCTTTTTCCTTCACATAGCCCCAGACGAAGAAGTCCATTGGCGTTAGGTCGCACGATCTTGGTGGCCAATTTTGATCGCCAAACCGAACGATGACACGGTCTGGAAACTTGGTCCGCAGCAACTCCATTGTTTCGCGTGTTGTGTGCCAGGTCGCACCGTCTCGTTGGAAGAACATATCCTCCTCAATTTGATTTTGAACTGATTGAATATTCGGTCAGACAGTGTATCAAATTTACATTTACGTTTGCATATTGAATATATTAGAACCGAAATTCCGACCCTAAATGTAGTTGGAATGTACTCATCGAACAAGGCATTTATTTTTAACTATAACAAGCACTTACCCCACGTAGTTCATAGTCTAAATCAAAAGTGGCATTGGACTGTTCTGGAAAAACCAGACTTGAACACAAACGGACCGGACTTAATTTTACGGAGCTTTCTTTAGGGCAGTACTTTTTAGCATATACTGAGACAATTACATGTGTTGCAGTCTGGTGGAAGTCCCAGCGACACTGCACTGTTTGCATATCAGCATCCTGTAAATAAAAAATATTGATTAGTTAAAAACATCAGCGTCAAGATTGCGACAAAGAAACCGACGAAAATGATAATAGAATAGATTTATTAGCTCTATGGTGTAATGATACATATCAGCTTCATCAAGTGCACTTTGTCAGGTTGAAACGTGTTCCATCAACCCATACAAATAACATATTAACAATGTTTGGACAAAAAAAGCAAAATTAATGAAACATGGGCAGAGGCGACAAAAAGTTACAAAAACATGTAAGTGGTTAAGATATATATATACTAAGTGACATATAAATCCGAACACCCAGTTTAAATGGTTTTATTTTAATAAAATTTTGTAAAAGTACTTAATGAAGCATAATAAGTAAATGATAAAAATTTCAAAATGATTGCACTGCTTTAAAGCCCTTTGACCTTTAATAATGTGTGGATGCACCCTGATGTGCTACGCATTCTCCAACGCGCCTAGGCATGCTTCTGATCAGGTGGTCAATGTCCTCCTGTGGTATCTCATTCCAGGCAACCACCAACTCCTCTCGAAGTGCTTCTAGAGTCTGAGGAGGACGATGCAAATTGAGCAATCTCCTACCCATCATATCGCACACGTGCTCAATTGGGGACAAGTCGGGAGATCTTGGTGGCCATGGTAGCAATGTGACATCATTATGTTGAAAGAAGTCTTTTGTGACTCTTGCAACATGTGGTCGGGCATCATCTTGTTGGAAAGTTGGATCTGCCAGGGTGTCAAGATAGGGTAAAAGATGGGGTTCTAGAACTTCGTGGATATAACGCTGCGCGTTCATGTTACCTCTGATGAAGATTAAAGGTGACCTGGAACCATAAGCTATAGCACCCCAAACCATAACTCCAACAGTGTGATGAACATGTCTTTCAACAAAAAACTGTGGATTCCTCCTTTCACCACGTCGCCTTCTAACCCTGGCACGACCATCGTGCATGCCTAAACAAAATCGAGACTCGTCACTAAAGACAATACTGTTCCATTCCTGATCCCAGACTGACCGTTGTCTGCACCACTCAAGGCGATTACGTCGGTGTTCTCGAGTTAAAGGGAGGACCCAGTGTGGCCAGTATGAAAACAAGCCAAAACTTCTCATTCGTCGGTAAACACTTCGCATGCCAATAGGTCTTCCGTGTTCTGCAAACCATTCATTTGCAATGGACCTGGTAGTGGAGAAACGGTCCCTTAAGGCCAATAATCTTAGGCGGCGATCTTCACGGTCTGTTGTTCTACGGCGGCGTCCAGTGCCCCTTGCTCTTTGCGTACGGCCTTCTCGAAGCCACGCCTGACAACACCTAACTACAGTGTCTACACTTCTTTGCACTCTAACTGTAATTGCCCGAAAAGAAGTCCAGCTTCCCGAAGTCCCACTATACGGCCCCTATCAAACTCACTAAGTTGACGAAATCGTACAGGTCTCCGTACTCTAGGCATCGTAACCGATAGTAAAGGATGTCAAGAACCAAAATCCGCCAACGTTGATTCTTTACTGCGGCTGAAATATTCATTTTTAGAGCGTTAGTGAATTAAAAAAAAAGCAGTATAAAAACCGGAATGTCCAACCGATAAGGCTGAAAGTTTTTTCACTTGTTATTTACAGTAAGATAAATACATTCACCAACTTTTATTAAAATAAAACCATTTAAACTGGGTGTTCGGATTTATATGTCACTTAGTATATATGAAAACATTTATAAATCAAGATCAGTTACATCTGAGAGGTTATGAAAGCATTTCTGGAATAGAATATTTTTTTTATGTCCTTGAAAAATTCCAAGTATTTCAGTATTAATTTTAACATGGAGTATAGTCGTACATGAGACAATGACTCTATGGGAGCATGACAAAAAAGGCATCCACAGTCAAAAATTCATTATATTGGATATTTTACCTCATATAAATACATTACAATCACAAATGTATATACTTACATCTTTCTTCCATAAATGTTTTCCCTGGTTACAACCAGCTTGATTGAGGAAACTATTGAAATCACTGGTTTTCTTTTGACAACATGACCAATATTTCATTCCTTCATGAAATATTGGAACACCAGGATGGTATGTGCATAAAGTGTTGTTAGTATCTGGTCCCTGGTATGTCACTTGACATCCTCCATTTTTGCAGGTTGTACCAATTTGTACTTCATCTGATTCTGGAACTTCCTTCTTCTCCTGTTGTTGTGGGGCAGTGTTAAGCTGTTGCATTAGTGATTGAGCTATGTTTGGCTTCATTATTACCTGTAAATTAAAGGAAAAATAACGTTTTTGGAGCATGAGAAATTATCCGGTACATCAACAAATAAAGAAGTGCCAATGCTGCATCAGATCAATCCATATCTAGTATATTATTTTTATTAGTAGTAACTTTGACAGGTCACAGTGAAACAACCATCACCCTCATCAATCTACCTCTGTATGTGTATGTTTGTTTTTATGCTCACCAACATAGAATTTTAGATAATTCCTTGTTATATATAGCCATACTGCAATATGGTCATAAAGGCAGTGCTATACTTGCCAATATTATTGTTAAATATTGCAACAAAGACATTGCTCATTTAGAGGCTCCTTTATATGAAGCAATGACTTACAAAAATAACTTCTTACAAAATTCAAGAAAGGAACATGTGAATCAAAACTTAGTATATTATTAGAGGGACCAAAAATGATAGTATCCACTGTCTTAGATCCTAAAGAGATACAGTTTTAAACAATAACTTGACATGTTTCTATTTTAGTGAGCAACAATTAGAATCACATAAATGTTTACATTTTATATTATATAAAAAAATGTTACTATTTTTTCTCTATAAAAACTTGCACCAACTCTGCAAGTTTCAGACTTGAAGAGAAAAATCTAGTAAATGATTCGTTTTAAGGTATCTACTAATAGAAATTTATTGCTTAGTTACAACAAAATCAAAATTAGGTATACATGCATAAGTAAAGCAATTCCTGCAGTAAAATCATAACTATTTTTAAACTTACCATAGGAGTGTCAACTGGCGGCCTTTCCAATGTAGGAGGTACAATGGGTTTAACCTCAACCACCTGAGTATCTGCTATATCTTCTTTCATCACAGGCTTTTCTGGCTCTGGAGGTTTGATGTTGGAATGCTTGGACAAAGTACATCCTTTGATGTTCAAGAATTCCGTGAAATCTGTACATTTCTTATTACAGCAGCCCCATCCTTTGTAAGCATCATGAAAAACTGGCAGTCCAGGATGGTGTCTGCATGATTCTATAAAGAAATGTGATGTATTAAATAATTTTGTGCTCGTAGTGTTTAATATACGTGAAGGATAAATCTATATTTAAAAACTTCATAGGCAATACTTGCAATTCCATCTCATTCTAGAAAATTACCATCTGTATTTTTGTCAGGATCATATTTTTGACCGCAGCCCCTGTTGTAGCATTGAAGCAGTGGTTTTTCAGCTGGCATTTTAAATCACAACTTTTCCTTCTCAGATACACAAAAATAAATTATTTGGTTTACGCTAAAGTTCGAAATTGAAATTGTTCCTTTTTCATACAAGAAAACTTTGACATTTACCCTAGCTGACAGTCTTGTCATGACATTTCACTGTAGGGAGCATAGATGAACGACGGCTAGAGATGAAACACGGTGCGAATAAAGCAAACGGTCGTGTAGAGTAAACGTGATCCTCAAGACAACTATTAAAATATATTCTACTAGGTCCAATATGACTATCCACAGCGAAACTTTTCTCGAAATCGTTGCAAAACACTTAGAAAAATGGAAAAGAGAATTGCAACATTGAGTCCGTGACATTTTACAGCTGACTTTTTAATTTTGTCATCTGGATTGCAATGTTGCCGGCTCATCGGCTGTTTTTGCTACCTTTGCGATTCCGCTAAAACCTCATAAAAAGATGCTTGGAATAAAATGTGGATTAATATTAATGGAGATACATAAGATTTAGGCGAAATGATATTTTCCAAAAAGTTAAAGATGATTCCAATAAATATTCACATTGTACGTGCATTTACAATACAAGGCTAGTGTTTTTGTTTTAAACAAGTCTGCATTTTTCTAAATAACACTAACATCTTTTGATCATATCTCATGTCTCCAATTTGTATATAAGCACAAAAAAATACATATTGCAGGTTTCAGATTTTCTATATATATATACGTACAGTATGTACCTAGTTTATTGATGTAACTCAGAAGAATAGATAGCATATGGATATTTTGAATCAAAGTAAAAAGTATTAACCCTAATAATAAAAACAAGACGTTTAATAGGTACCGCCTGGTTGAAGACAAAGATGAAGCAATATTAGTTTTAGTTGGAGACGACGACGACTAACAAGCATTTAATTTTCTAATTTTTATTTTATTATTCTACAATTTTATTTTCTACACCCCAGAAATGAGTAGTCGTGTTGTTTTATTTTATTGATGACGAGTAGTCATGTATCCTAATTTATTTCTTTTGTTTTACTTTAGGGTTTCATATTTTTTTTATTTTGCAATTACAAATGGTTTCTAGATGGAACAATTGTGTTACAGTACCTGTCAGCAGTTTTTTCCAGTTTACCTGCGGCAAAACTTGACAGCTGATGTCACCAAAAATTACAATACCTTTGATAACAAATAATCCTGGTCTCCTAGGACACCAGAATACGACGCTAAGCAATTTTTTCTGATTTTATGGTTTCTCAAAAACGAAACGTTGGTCGCAAAATTCAAAAAACACCATCATGTTAGTTTTTTGATATTTCTTTAAATAAAGTTAGACAAAAATAACGAATTCGCCAAATTTTAGCTATTCCCAAATTCCTCAGTATATGAGTAACCTCTCAGTGTAAGCAAGCACACAAGTAGATGAGTATGTAAGGCTCACTTAGTGCACATGTATCCTGTTTCCCTCAGAAGAGTGAAAGTAGACCTAATTTTCACTTTGGAGACACTTGACACCCACGTCACAACACTAAAACACCACTGATAGACAATCGAGAACTCTATAGTGAACACCACTATTAAAAAAAATCGCTTAACCGAATAGAGCCTCTTACGAGCTGTTAACGCGTGGAGCATTCCCGCGACGCGACGGTTTGCCGAGAGACTGAAGAGTGTGGAGGCTGTAACCATCGCTACGGCATACAGCGGGTAGTACAGCAACGCCCCTTTCCAGATCACCACTCCGCGCATCTGCGTTTTCTTATATGATAGTATCAGACGTCGACGTTGACGGAGCGGACGCGCGAAGTGGCGCTTTAGCGTCTGCGTGGAAGCGACGTTGGACGTACGGACGCGCGAATGGAGAAAGGGCTTGGCCGTATACCGGCCGTACCGTTCCCGCAGCGTGTGAAAAAGTAACTATGTGATCTTGGGAACCTGAAAAAGAATAAGGAGTCCATTAGATTGGAGCAAAGTTCGGCAGTATTATGAGTCAGAAAAGCGACAACAAGGTGATACCACCGTTCAGGAAAACCACAATAATAAAAATTATGTCAATTTGACTGGTGTACTGTTTTGCTAAAAAAATTATAATTCAGTATGACCACCAATAGTATGTGTAGACTAAGCTCCACGTAGAATTTTTTATGCTTATATATGCTTAATTGAAATGCTTCGAAAAGTTACTTCCCATTCCGAATTTCCTTAAGCCCATATACAGATGCTGACTTAAATACATGTTTTTAGGCATTTCTAGTAAATACAAAGTATTTTCAGTTTGTAGGGTCATATGAGTCATATGACACTCTATCCTATAATAACCCATCTCGATAAGCATAAAGTTTGAAGATACGATGTTTGCATTAAGCACGACAGATTTGAATAAACTATGCTTATAACATTTTGCAAATTTTAAAGTTGTCTATTTTCTTACAAGATGCGGTTCCATTGAACTTGTTCAAATTCGGAATTAATTATACGACGCACGTTGCCAAATGGTTATACCCATACTACTCATAGTAATCAAAGTAACGAATACAATAAATGATTACTTTGTAGAAGAGTAACGAGTACTGGAAAGTAACAAGAATCAACACCACTACAAAATCGAATTCCACAGAACATCGAGCAGTTTTTTCGCCTTATAAGCCGTCAAGTGTCAAATGATGATTCTCCATTTGACTGTTCAGTGTTATTGTGTCAATAATGGATTGTTGTAATTTTTGTTTAATTTTTCTCAACATAAAAAGGTACATTTGAAGGTTTGTGGGTGTGATATTGTGAAATATGAGTATATCTCTTAAAGTGTGTTGATCAGGTGAGTTATTTTATAAGACTTCTATGCTCATTTACTTTAATAGGCCCAATCGATTTCTTCCCATTATACCAAACAATATTTTTAAATCGCTGGTCAAATCGAATAAAGTGCTGAGTAGTTAGAATTTGGGGCTGATTCAAAGCCATTTTTCCTTCTAAAGATTATAATCATCACCAACAGTGATTTGTAATCCGATGTCAATACTCTCAAATGTTTTGTTTATTTAGGAGATTGTATGCAAATATTTGGCAGTTCATGTATTTGTTTACATTTTAACCATTACATTCATTCGCATTATTATGAAGTAGTACATTAGGACTACGTGAATCATGATAATCTGTAATTTACACAGGATGTCCCCAATGGAAGAACTGGATAGACCTTTTTTGATTAAATTGAGTTATCTATATTTATATAGAATTTGGAAATTGCATTATCTAGTGTAAGAAAACAAGACTCTCCTTCAAAGCATATACAACCTATTTTATCCCTCCTGAAATCTAATTTAGTGGACAGAAGGTTCTTATATTATAAATCCCAAAAATTACTCAGTTTCAATTATATATAAAATTGGTAAGGTATTTTTTTAGTTTCCCTTATTGAACTGTAAAGTAAATACGATAGGGTTGTGTATGGAATAGCATATCCTTGTTAACACAAGAAAACCACGTAACTCCACTTTATATGGTGTTTAAAATAGGAAAACACATAATTCCTAAGTTTACCTATTTTCCATTTTGTTTGAATTTAGCTTCTTAAGTATCATTCAGAAACTGCTTAACTAAACTATAATATTGTGTTTATCACAATACTGCTATTATTCCTAAAACAAAATAATGCATAACTCAATTTGTTTTTACGCTTTCCTCTAAAATTCTTAGAAACAGAGTTACAATTTTTTCTTGTATCAACGTTATCAGGAAAATCACAACTTCCTCGACTTTGTCAGCACATACTCAAAGTTTATATATCATGATTTAGGATAAATGTTGCTAAATGGTAACAATGTCCAATAGGTCAAAATATCAGAAGTAGATGAGAAAAAGAAAGATTTTTGCATGATACTTAATCAGGTTTGAGGTATATTGACATGAGTAGCTTTCCAGATTATCCCCCATTTCACTCATGCAGCTATTAATTTCCTCTTTCCAGACACCTTCTTTCTGTCTAATATAATACTGACTACAAAAGACTATTATGTGGCCTGAGGAAAAAATAATTTACTGCTCTCATTTTATGACCAGAAATAGTCTCTCATTTGTTTTAACACCACTGGATTTCATTTGTTGGAGTAATTTGATCCATTAAAAGAGGAAATTTATTTCTGCATTAAACAAAAATTGTCACATTGCTGGTCTAGGAAAGTTTTGTGTAAAGAGGACATGATAGCAAACTAAGGAAGCAATTTTCCTAATAATTCCAAACATAACCCTGTCTTGTGTACTTCATAATTCAAGGGTGGATCCAGAAAGTGATTTTTGGGAGGCAACTGATAGCAACTGTCCTTGTGACCTTTGGATAGAGAGTCTGTTACAGAAAAATAATAACAGTGAATTAACTCTCCCCTTGTGCCCCCCTATGGATCCGCCACTGAATAAAACAATAGCTAAAAGAAAAAACTGTCCTTTCTATCTAATCCAAAGCTTGTATGTATTTTGGGATGCAGATTACATACATTTTGTCATTTTTAGATGTAAATCATCACAATGAACATAATGAGGAAACTTAGGGGAGGTGGAGGGCCAAACTCTGCCTCTGCTTCATCGACTGACTTCCCTGATGGTCCATCATCAGCTCAGACACAGTTGGGGCTGCTGCACTTGAAAAAGCTCTTCACTGAATATACCCATCCACCACATCCTTTAACAGAACAAGAGAAAGATGATAAGCTGTATAATATGCTGCCTCTCTTTTGCAAGGTATTAGTAGTCTTTATAACAAAGTGAACAAAATTTCTTACAAGACATTATGTCTCGTACCTAAGACTATTTACCAGCTATAAGTTTCCATCTCCTTAAGAAAACATCTCTATTCCAAACGTTATCAAGAAAATCTAATTTTCAATAAATAGTTATCACCTGCACATTTAGTCAAATTTGTACAATTTTCCTCAATTAAGCTCTCCTAGAAGATCAATATTGATAAAAAAAATGATGATAAATGACAATTTTATCAATCTGATTTGATGCCTGTAGAATGTTTCCATTTATTATTTTTTTTAATAATTAAAATATGCAAGTCTAATTCCATTTTTTATTTTTATCAACTAAGATACTCTGTAGCTTCTCAAGTATTGATCCTATAGTATAAATATGTATGACATACTTTCTTGTAAATTTAATTTAGATTATTAATGAAGCAGGAATGAATTATAGATATATCATTGATAGTTTACGAGATCCAAGCAAAAACTTGAAAAAGGGATTTTTCCCCTCTTTCTCATTGCCGACTCACTCCCCAAAATGGCACAAATGTGAGCACCACATGCGTTATAATATGTTCATGGGTCGCTGAACCGAATATGGGCATATCGAATGCCACGTTTCCGTGATACTGGCAAAATTCAACTTTGTCAAAACACTAACAGCGCCGCAAAAACCGCATAGTTTTACAATTTTTCCTCCAAGAGGTTTTTAGCTAGGTAGTTGTATGATAAATATTGCAATATCAATGCTAATACGAGGGATGTCTTTATGTTTCATAGAAATAACAACACGGTAGGTTTTTTAAATGACTGTCATCGATAGTTCTTAGAAGATACATCTCATGCGCTCGAACCAATGAGCACTATTCCAGTGTGGCAGATCTAAAACTCATTGTGAAATGCTCAACTCTTCTTTGGTGACTGGAACTTGACCACGCGTCTGTTTTAATTTTGGGGAAAGTAAAGTCTAGGAGATTGGGACTATAGGAGGATGTCAAAATTCCAGTTTTCTTCCGTAAATACAGCTGCATTGTGGAGAGGATGATTCTTCTTTCGTTGAGTTTCGAATCGGTGAACTTTTGGCAAACAATGATTATACCAACGCAGTACAGTCTTGCTATTAGAGAATTGTTGCAATATACGCTTTAGACACAAATGTCGCGACCACCTTTTTCGAAACAACTTTCGAGAACGGATGACTTTTGTTGGCTTTTCTTCCACCTTGGAACAATCAAAACAGCCAACTGTTGTTTATTTCTGGTTCATAACAGTACATCCACGAGTTGCAGTCAACCACTACCAATGCTGTAACAAACAGTTTTTGTTTCCGGAATTGAAAACGGTCCAGATTTTTGGAGCACAAATTAACCCGGGCAAGCTTTCTGCTCTTCAGTCAATAGGGTGGGAATATCACCAACGGAGAAAACTAATTTTCATTCGTACTCCTAATTCTTCATGAAAATTTGTTGAATTGATGTCATGAGAACTTCAAGGACGCCTCAATTTCGTGATTGTCACATGTGTCTATCTGCAATGATAAGTTTTCGCACAGCTTCGACGTTTTCCTGGGTGACTGCTGTTTTTGGTGCACCCAACCTGGGATCGTCGCTAAGACTCACCCGACCAACGTTTGAATTCTCCATACCAAAGGGAAATTGTCCACTGATGTGGCGCTTCGTTGCCGAAAACAGACAGTAACTGAGCAAGGCATTCTTGTTGCGATAATTGTCTCTGAAAGTTGTAATAAATTATGGCGCGAATATGTTCTCGGTTGAGTTCCATTTTTCTAACGACTTGGTGACACACAATTCACTGTAGTGAGAACACTGCACGTATCGTTGTGAAACTTTGAATTTATGTTTACTAAAGAGTGAGGTTAAGATTCAGTACTGACGTTCGATCCGCGCAGCCTACTATGTTTCTATATGCAAAACTTATGAAATATGAATGTCAGGATATTTTTACTCGATAAACTTTAAATTTATTCGATAAAGATTGTCTATTGTATATTACTTTTAAATGGAAGTATGATGAATTTATGTGAAGGCACTACCACTTTTAGCAACAAAGCCATTCTCATTTAAATCTCTCAATTTATGGCAAAACTTGTATCAACTGTTTGTTTTGTTTTTCTATAGTTCTCATACATTAAATCAATGTATTTTGCATAGTATTTGGTTCATATTCCCTTTTATAGCTTGTAAATTAGCTCTGTTAACTATCAATCTTCTCCATCACATAATGTAAAATTCATATTGTTAAAAATAGCACTGAAACCTAGAACAATAAAATAATGTTGGTAAACCCCAAAATTGATGCTGCTTAGTCAATTGTTTGATTACTTATATTTAGCATTCACATTATTCACTAATTATATGTTTTATTTCAATGCAGTGATTAGTTTTCTGCAATAAATAGTTTATAATCAACCCATTATACAGGATAATCCACTTGAGTACCCTTGTTCTCAGTCTTTGGGTTCTATCAGATCCTAATATTGTTCATATATTAATTACAAAATCAAATCTCACATAGATTTGAGCCTTATGAATGTATGTAAAATGACTTCCTATGAATGTTATGATAGTCAAGTTGGTTGTCTCAGATCTTCTCATGTGTTCACGTTTATAGAAAACGTCATACCATTTTTGATGGAAAAATAGCAACATTTTTATATAATTTTCTGAAGAAATAATCTTTACCTCTCATAAGGGAGACTAGAAATCTTGAATAGAATTTTTTCTCTGTTTGTGATACAGATTTGTGTAAGGACAAACGAGACTTATAGATTTTTACTAGACTAACTCAGAAGGAGGGTTCTCGCGTGTGGGTATGTATGCAGACAAAAAGTTATATTTCACGCGCTTTAGGCCAAATGGCTTAACGGATTTTGACATATGAGGTGTTGTTAGTGGTGTGAGTATAAATAATTTTATAAAATCATAATGACGGATTTTAATAAAATTCAACCTTGTAATTATTATTTCATGGCTTTCAGCAGATTGATGGATATTGACAAATAAGAGGTATCACTAGATTTGTCTTGAAAGTGCGAGTGAGCCTGGATACCAGAATTTTATAAAATGAAAATGGCGGATTTTAATCTGAAATTCCAGCTTTGAACTTTATATTCAACAAGCCACAGCTAAAACAGCTCAATGAGTCACTGAGATCTTGTTTGTATTTTTTAAAAATGTGCTTGTAACATTTTATGATTCATTGATTTGATCAATTTCCTCTTTCCTCTACAAAATGCTTGATCTTAGCAGCCAAATACAGACTTTTAACACTGAGTATGATATTTGTTTTTCCTTCCCTATGAGTATTTATACCTTATATATTTATTGTATACGCGCCGGAATATTATCAATCTGGAGAAATAATTCGCAAATCTTCGAATATTGTATTATTTTCTACCAAGGTTTTTGGATCAAGCCCATCCTGTGACATGAACGAGAAGTTCTGGGATGTGTTAGCTTTCTGTCAGCAAGTGTCTTTGCTGATGGTGAACGAAATAAGGAGAAGAGCATCCAATCAGAGCACAGAAGCAGCCAGCTGTGCAATAGCAAAGTTTTTGGAAATAGAAAACTGTGAAGAATCTAGTAATGGTTGGATGTTATTATCTACTTTAAATTTGCTTGCGTCTGGTGATACCACATTGATTCAGGTAAAGAAAAAATGCTTATATACATTACACGTTTTCTGTGTAAAATCATGAAAGATAAGTTAATTTGTAAATCTCTCGGATCAATCACATTATTTTCTTTGTCACAGGTTATGTCTGAAGTATCAGTAACATCCACTTTAGTCAGGTGTTTATACTTGTTTTTTGACCTACCTGAAATATCAGAACAAGAAGCAAACAGTAAAGATACCAATAGTGACTTTACACCTAGAGAAAGACGGATACTTCTGCAGAAAATATTCGTGCAGGTCTGTATTTTAGATTGGCATAAGGTCTGAATCTAAATATCCATCATCAAGTGATCAAAGCGACTTGCTGCATGAAAGTCCTTATGATTTTCATTGCAACATTGGTAATGAGGTATTTTATTCATTGTATAGGTCTTGGTACGACTATGTAGCCACAGGATACCAGCTGAAGAGCTGGCAAGGAAAGACGATTTAACGCTCTTATTTTCGGCTATCACGTCATGGTGCCCCACGCACAACGTTCTATGGAGAAAAAGTGCTGCAGAGGTGTTGATGACATTATCAAGACATGGACTCACTCCGCCTGTTGTAGGATATATTCATGGTAAGTTAGATTTATGCAAAAATATGATCGATTTAGATAAATGTGGTATTTTCAAAATAAACCTGTAATTGTTTCTTGTCTTTGTAGCAAAATCGTGTGTGTCCTTGTGCATAGAAAACATGAAGAAAATACCTGAACTGGCACCATTAGATCTGGTCGAAATGTTCGTAACATTGTTTTGTTTTTTGAAAGACTCCAGTGAGGTATCATCAACACTGCTAGATGACTTTAGGCAAGCTCAAGGATACCCTTTTCTGGCAGAGTTTCTGCAAAGGTAACCATGTTTTTCAAGATTATAATTTTGTTGGCTTAGACCTTTTGAAGGAGATAATGTCATGGCTTATTTTTTTTGTTTAAGGCTGGAACATGACCATTCCAATGAAGCCCAGGAATCAATCAGGAATTTGGTGTTAATGATAACATCTTTATGCATGTGTGGCTATATAGAACTGAAGCCTTCTCAGGCTTCTACTGGATCTCTATTCCAAATGCAAGGATTCGTTGTACCACAACCTTCTGGACGAGGAACCAGTGTTAGAAATATACAAGCTTTTCACGTAAGTAAATTCAAATTTCAACTAAATTCATTAGTCTTGATAGTACAAATCAGGTTTGATCATTGTTGATGAATGTCAGGAATAAAACATTATGGATTCAATAACGTTCAAGTAATTATCTTTTTTTTATAAATAGGTATAATGTTTACAAAACTAATGATTGTGAAGATACGTTGTTTGGAACATCAGGTTATCGTTTATTAGTTTATTTTTATTCTCGCAGTGGAACAGTTTATACTCAACCGTATTCAAATTTTTATTTTTTATCAATCCAAATATATGGAGTTGTCCAAAACGGACGCAGGAAAGTAAACGCATATTAAAACAAGAAAGATTGATATTCAAATCAAGTTGGGTACTTTATTTTGAAGGCTCATTTATACCATTTATGTATGAAAAATAATATCGCTCAAATGTTCACCACCACTGGATTTACAGACGTCCACGCGATGGTCGAAATTTTCAATGACATTTTGCAACATGGTCGGTTCTATGGCATTTATCTCGGCAATGATGTTGTTTTTGAGTTCTTGGAGGGTGGCTGGTTTGTTGACGTAGACTTTGCTTTTCAAATATCCCCACAAAAAGAAGTCCAAGGGAGTCAAGTCGCACGATCTTGGTGGCCATGGCACATTTCCTCTGCGCGAAATCACGCGATCACCGAAGAAGGACTGCAATCGATGGATATTGACGTTGGTTGGGTGGCATGTTGCACCGTCTTGCTGGAAATAAACATCGTCCATATCCATTCCTTCAAGTTGCGGCAAAAAATAGTCCTCTATAATCAGGTGATATCGCTCAGAATTGACGGTAACGGCGTCCCCGGCCGCATTTTCGAAAATGTAAGGTCCGATGATGCCTTTTGACCACAATGCACACCACACAGTCACTTTTTGAGGATGCATCGGCTGCTCTTGATACTCACGGGGATTTACGTTCGCCCAGATGCGGCAGTTTTGCTTGTTTACCGTCCCATTCAAAGTGAAATGCGTTTCATCGCTGAACATGATTTTTGATGAAAAATTGGCATCAATTTGGCGGTGTTCAAGGAGCCAATCTGAGAACGTTCGGCGCGAACAATGGTCGGCCCGACGCAGCTCTTGCGTCAATTGGATCTTGTAGGCGTGTACATTCAAATCCTTGTAGAGAATGCGGAGCAAACTGGTTCTCGAAATGCCCAAGTCTTGGGATCGACGCGTTGTTGATTGTTTCGGATCGTCTCTCACACTCTCCTTCACAACAGCAATATTTTCCGGTCTGCGAACGCTCCTTGGCCGGCCAGAGCCTGGCAGATTTGCCACAGAACCTGTTGCCTCGAATTTACGCACTAGACGACCGATGGTTGTTTCGTTTGGGCGTGTTTTTTATTTTTGCACCATTTTTGTAGGGCTCTTGAATAACTTTAATGCGGTCTTCAATCGAATACGACGCCATAGCGATCAATGGTAAACATTCAACTAACAAATGACATGTCGGTGACAGAAAACAAGGATGCCGTTTATGTCAAATTGACGTTTACTTTCCTGCGTCCCTATTGGACAACCCATTATATTGAAGTTACTTTTATTAAATACTTAATTAGGCTGCATTGGGGGAGTACTTTGAAGAACACCATATTAAAATACCTGAACAATTGTAAAATAAAGTTATGGTTCCACTTTTATACATATTTTCTCGACAAACCTTGTAATATAAATACTTGTCAATAACGTTGTAGTGAGATGACATTATTTTACTATTACGCTTTTTGGAATTCACCTGTTTTTTTATTATTTATGGCCTAAAAGTATTACGATTCTTTTGATCTTCCATCTTTATAAGAAAATGCTCACTGTAATTTTAGGTTCTGCAAAGCAGTTTCTTGAAATCAAACTCATCTCTGCTATGCTCGACAATATTGGACGCCATATCCAGCATCTACCATTCAGACAACGCCAATTACTTCATCTTAGAAAATCAGAACACCCTTTGTCAGTTCACAGAACGTATCCATTACAAGCCCCAGGACGTTCAACAAAAACTCTTCGAACTCATCGAGTTCCTGGTGTATCAGTTGAACTTTGTACCGTGCAAGGAACTCATATCTATGTCAATTTTCTTAAAGACGCACAGTTTGAAGTATGTAGACTGTAGTATTCTGTGCATGAAGACATTGTTGGAGATTCTGAAACATAACGCCATATTCAAAGACGTGTATAGAGAGGTTGGGCTGTTGGAGGTATTTGTCACTTTGCTGAACAGATATTCGAGTATGTTGGATGAAAAGAACGCTATCGAAGATGGTGAGGAGGACGGCAAGGTGCCATGTGGCCAAGAAAAACTAGGTGCCTTGGTAATTGAAGCATTCACTGTGCTGTTGTCTGGAAACAGCCAGAATGCGCAGTTACTGAGAGAATCTGGTGGGGCTAAGTGTATTCACAAACTTGTTCAATATCCTGAATGTCGTCAAGCGGTACTAGGTAAGTATTTTTTGCGGCTATTGTTCGATAAATGGTTCTGCGTTCTGGAATATCCGACAGATTTCAGCTTTGCAACTTGTAGATACTTTTCCTTATTTATAATTTATACATCTTAAAGCGAAAACTTCAAAATAAATAAATGTCAACTGACAGTAAAGTAAGTAAACAAATTTTTGTTTCTGAACTTGTTAAAATGAATTTTGTACCAAAACTTTTAGGAATACCTTATTATAACACCACGTTATTCTATTTCAAAAATAAATAATTGTTTTAGGTATCATTAAGGAGCTAGTACTTTCTTCTGGCGGCGACGATGACATGGCTCAATTGTTGAATACCCTACATTCAGCCTCGTCTACCGAACTTCAGATTAAAATAGATATCTTGGATGCCTTGAAGATCTGTTTGAAAGAGTCCCATAGGATACGAACAGTATTCAGAAAAGTAAGTTTTCTTAAATCCCATGTAATCAAAAGAATTTACTTCAATTATGAGTTACGTTTCTTTAAAACACGGGATTTTGAGAATCTCATGAGATAGATATTAGATGGACATTGTTTTTATTTCCCACGCCACTGGTGAGAAAATTTTGTAATCGCGAAAAATTAAAAAAAAATGTTTTTTGGATGTTTTATGACGTGTACATCTATTTGTTTGTCTGTTTCTCTATAAGATTTATTTAGCATGATTGCTACAATTACATTCTTCTAAAAAACTAAACAGTTTCATAACATACAGGCATTCAGAAAAAAAACAAAATTTGCATATCAAAGAATTTTCATTGTCCATGAAATATTCCTTTAATTTTCTTTTAAATATATTTAAATTACAAGTAGACTTTATATCATTATTTAGTTTATTGAATTCAAGTAATCCTTTCTGAAATATTGATTTGCTAGTTATATTACTATTGCAATTTTGTAAATGAAAATGTATATTTCCTCTTTTATAATAATTGTGGTAATGATTATTCAATTCTGGCAAAAGATGATTTTTTATTTTAAAAATAAAAATAAGAACCAAATATATGATATTTTTTATATTCAACCACTGCAATTCTTGTAACATAGATTTTATTTTGGTGTACTTATATTTATTCAATATTATTCTCATAGCTTTATTTTGCAAGACTTTTAATTTTGAGAATACAGCTTCATTGGCAGTGAACAAGATAGTTGAACAATATAGTAAATACGGTAGAATAATTGTATTATAAACTATTTTCTTGGAATAGGTATCAAGACTATGAGAAGCCCTATGCAAGTAATTTGTTTTTTTGACAATTTTTGAAATAATGTGTTCATAGTGATCGTCAAACTTTAGTTTATTATCAATATATATACCTAAATATTTAATTGATTCAACATTTTCAATTATCTCTCCATTTATCCTAACTGTGATAGTATTTTCATTTAGGTATTTCCCTATTAGCATACATTTTATTTCAGAAGTATTCAATTTTAGTTTATTTACATTTAACCAATTTACTATTTTTGTCAAGTCAGAATTTAGCATTTTTAAAGCAGTGTCTATATTTTTATCTGATATGTATATTAATGTATCATCTGCAAATATCTGAAATTTACAATAATCTAAAATATTACAAATGTCATTAATGTATAAAATAAATAGTAGTGGACCTAGTTTACTACCTTGTGTTATACCAACAGAAATATTTGTTGATCTTGATAATGTAGATCCAATTTTGGCTTTTTGACTTCTGTCAATTAAATAGTTTTGTAGAATTTTGAATACAGATCCTTTAAATCCGTAGTGATGCAATTTTGTAAGTAATTTATCCCTGTCAATAGTCTCAAACGCCCATTTGAAGTCCAAAAACACTGTTACTGTATGTTTCCGATTTTCCAAACATTACCATTTGTGTTGTTTCAGTTGAGTCTTTCTTCCTGAATCCGACTTGAAATTTGGTTAAAACGTTATTTCCCTCAATAAATTCGATGATCTGCTCGTAAATAATTTCTTCAAAAGCTTTTTCAACATCTGGCAGAACATTTATTGGCCGCGTATTGGTGTACAACTCAGAATTCTTACCTTTAGAAACAGGAGTTATGGTAGAACACTTCAGTTATGTTGGAAATTCGCCATATTTTAAACATTAATTTATCAGGATTAATATTTTGCTCCAATACTATCAAAACATTCATTAAGCACACTTTTAGACAAAATCTCACTCTTATTTTGATTTGATTTAATTTTTGATACAATCTTCTTGAGACGATTAATGTTTATTGTCCTAAACTCACTGAATGATGCATTATAATCTGAGCTAATGGGATCCCTGTCAATAATTTATTTTACAATGTCGTTGACCACTATGCCAAAATTTTTGAAAATCGGTCCAGTGAGGATAGGGCGAAAAAGGAAAAATAGAAATAGTTCAAATTTCGTTTTCTGACGTTTTAGAGGTTCCCTATCATTTTCAGAAAAAAAGGGGCTAGAAATTAAGGATTGGAGGTTGTAAGGAGTGGAGGAGGAAGTCGATTTCTATGTTTCAATGAAGATTTTGGATCATTTCTGATTAATTCACGCACTTTTTCGACGGTTTCTGGCGTAATCACAAATTCGATTGTCATGAAATTTTGGCAGGGCATCAATGAAAGATGTACCTATCCATGGCTATTTGTAACAGATATCTTTCTTAAGTCCTGTGTTTTTTTTTTGCTTTTTTGCATTTATATTTTTATACACTTCCAACCCTTTTAATTCTGCGCACTTATCAGACATACTTCACACATAGATTTGCCCGTACATTTGGTCTTACTTGGAAAACTACTTGATGCCATTTTTTTTTTCGTTTTAGGTAAATGGATTCGTGTATGTAACCAGCGTCCTTGTCGTGTTGGAAGGCAAACTAAACAAAAAGGTCGAGGATCCGAAGATACTCACCGTACTGAATCTAGTATTTCAGACGATCTGTACAGCAATGCGATTTGAACCGGCCAACGCCAAGTTCTTCTTTCACGAAATATGTAAAACTACTCTCTGTGATACGTTGAGATTGCTGGGGTGCTTCACTCCTGGGAAAGTTCCGACCATCAGCGAAATTGATTTTGATAGCCCTCTCAACCATTACCATGAAGTGTTCCAGAATATCTTTACTGGCTCCGTTACAAACCCAATGTAAGCTTCGTTTGATTATACATCTGACGCCTTCACGTATTATTTTGTCATAATGATACTTAGTAAATGGTATTCCAACATTCACCAAACACAGTGTGTTCCTTAATGATATGCGAATATTCAAGGGTGTGAATCTACGTGAAAAATTAATGTTAGTTTGCTTTATGAACTATGGTCCAAAAATGTTTCCTTACAAAACTCGGGGTGTTCAGGTTTTAGGAAAAAATGGAAATTAATCAGTATTTTCAGAACCGCTTCAGATATTTCACTGATATTTAGTACGTAGTGAAAGTTAATTTTTCTCGGAATGCCATTCAGAATTTCCACAATAATCATTTGTGGGCAGAAGAAAATCCCTATGCCGTAACCGAAACCCATTTCGAACACCAATTTTCGGTTAACGTATGGGCAGGAATTATTGGCAACCACTTTATTGGCCCATTCTTCTTGCCGGGACGACTTGACGGACAGACTTACCTCAATTTTCTTCAACAACAGTTGCCTTTGCTGCTTGATGATGTTCCGTTAGTAATAAGAAAAAATATGTGGTACATGCATGATGGTGCACCAGCGCATTTCAGCGTAGCGGTTCGTAATTATTTACAAACTGTTTATCCAAATCGTTGGATTGGCCGCGGTGGGCCCCAAGAATGGCCACCAAGGTCCCCAGTCCTCAACAGTTTAGATTTATTTTTGTGGGGTTATCACACAAATCCCATTAACACTGTAGAGGAATTAAGAGAAAGAATAGTTGTAGCATGTGATAGATAAAAACACTCCAGGGATATTTCAACGAGTGCGCAATTCCAAGAGAAGGAGGGCGGAAGCATGCATACTAAGTGAAGGGAGGCATTTTCAACAATTTTTGTAATCATTTCGTTGGTTTTAATGTTACGTTTATGTTGTCAGTTGTTGTTGTTCATTACCCCTAATGTGTTTAATTTTTCCAATTAAATTAATAATAATTTTGCAAGTTAGACCATAGAACGGTTTTTATTTTTTTACTCAAAAATTGAGCATATAAAGAAAACAATTCAAGAAGATCATTTGTTTTAAATTGAACGGGGAATTCAAAAATAATTTTTATTTGGCAAAAAACCATTGGTGTACCATTTTTTTCTTGAAAAATATCGAAATCAATACTCGTACGCACGCCTCTGTTAAAGCTAAAAATTATTTTTGCATTGAAAAATATGCAACTTTATTACCTTTCACTACGTACTAAATATCAGTGAAATGTCTGAAACGGTTCTTAAAATATTGATTAATTTCCTTTTTTTTTCCTAAAACTTCAACACCCCGAGTTTTTGTAAGGAAACATTTTTGGACCATAGTTTATGAAGCAAACTAACATTAATTTTTCATGAAGATTCACACCCTTAAATATTCGCATATCATTAAGGAATATGAGTAAAATATTTGTTTTATATTCTGTAGTACACTATCTACTGGAATATTATATTTAGATTTTTCATTATTTTCTTCCAGTATACCGGACGAAATATCACCGTCTCTGGCTTATACGACAATAGTGTACAGGCTTTTATACGATTTGTGCTTAGATTTATTTGACAAAACAAATGTAACTGTCAATCCTTTTGCTGTCAAGTCACCACCTCTATCAAGAGACTCCAGTGTTCAGGTACGTGTACGTTATATTTTTGCATACCTAGCATGCATTTTATTCAAGTTCATGTATTTAAAATTTTCTAGCTCTAACAATAAAATAGCAACTCACTGTAATTTTTGATCGTTAAACTGATTGTGTTTGTTGCGTGTATTTTATTGGTTCTGTTGCGTGTTTATAATAAATGACATCAGAAATATGATATACATGATATATTTCAGAGTGATAATGGTAAGAATGGAGTCAATTCTTTGAATTTGAATCCACCACAACCTGATCCCATAATAGTTCATCCAGGAGTGGTTGTCTGCATGTTGGAACTGTTATCTTGCATCAAAGTAAGTAACTCGCAGTATTCTGAATTTTTCTATATACAGCAGACGCTCGATAACGTAAACAAGGGATAATGAAAACTTGCGCTAATGTAAACACAAACTTCGTTCTACAGGATCAAACGGAACGCGCGATAACGTAAACAATGTGTACGCTCGATAACGTAATCAACTCTCGGCGCACGGAAACAGTGCGACGGTAAAATGCTGAAGCCTCGATGATTTATGTCGGGCGTCGGGGAGTCCCCGATTTATGATGTAGAGTGTAGGGGATTCACCTCTGCGATAAAATACGACAAACTCGGTCAGTCGTATGATCGTTTAGGATACTTTTATACGTACGTATGTATTTCATTTTTGAACTTAAGTGAATACATTGCACGCGTTAATATATTTTACGACTATGGCATCCACATCCTATAAAAGAAAGTGTTTAAAGTTGAGTGAGAAAGTGAAAATCATAGACGAAGTTGCACTAGGTGCGGGAGTGACACAGTTAGCAAAAAAATATGGAGTATCGAAAGCAACAATCTGTAAAATTAAGCGTATGAAAACTCAAATTTTATAAAGAACGTGCAATACATTAGGAGGTCCGGGAAAAAGAAAAACTTTAAAAAATGCGAAGGCACCTAAAATGGAAAATTCCCTGTATAAGTGGTTTTTAAAACAACGGGAAAATCATGTCCCAGTTAGTGGCGAAGTACTTAAACAGAGAGCGAGACTGTTAAATGAAAAACTGAAAGAAACTGAAAATTTCGTAGCTAGTGATGGCTGGCTACAACGATTCAAAACAAGATATGGAATTCGACTGCTGTCTATATCTGGTGAAAAATTATCAGCACTACCACAATTAGTGCAACCATTCAAAGAAAAATTGATGAAAACAATTACCGAGCTAGATTTGAGAATGGAACAAATTTACAACGCAGATGAAAGTGGCCTTTATTGGAAAATGTTACCAGAGAAAACCTATGCTGCATCATTTGAAAAATCTGCCCCGGGAAGAAAGCCGGAGAAACAACGAATAACGTTTCTAGCTTGCACTAATGCTAATGGTTCACACAAAATAAAGCCACTGGTAATTGGGAAAGCAAAAAATCCGCGCTCATTTAAAAATGTTAATATCCCTGTTGATTATGACTGTTCAAACACCGCTTGGATGACTAGCAGTATATTCCTGAAATGGTTCCACAGGTGCTTTGTCCCTCAGGTATACAATCAATTATCACAAATGCTCTATTCATAATTTGAAGATTTGTTTTCAATTTGTAGGTAAAAGGTTTTCTAAAACAACAGAAGCTTCCAATAAAAGCGTTGTTACTATTGGATAATGCACCAAGTCATCCTCCCGAGCAACAACTGAGGAGCAGGGATGGGTCAATTTTCGTCATGTACATGCCGCCCAACGTAACACCGTTAATTCAACCGATGGACCAGAATATAATAAGACTCACCAAACTATACTATAGGAAGTTTCTACTTTCGTCTGTCTTATCAAAGAATCCTGAAAACTTATCTGAGGCTTTAAAAAAAGTAACATTACGAGAAGCTGTTTTAGATTTACATATGGCCTGGAATGAACTTAACCAGCAAACTATTCAAAAATGTTGGAACAATCTCTTTTGTACCAATAATGAAGATGATGAAGAAGACGATGTCCCCTTAAGCGTAATTAAAGAACGTTTGCGATCCAATAATGATAATGTTATTAGCGTGTCATTGGATGTTGTTGATTTATTGAAAACAGTGAATCCCAACATTGTTTGTACTCCTGCTGATATTAATTTATCGAACGAAGATAAGCAGACGAATGATGCTGATAAGGAGGAGGATATGGACAGTGAGGATGATGAGAACGATCCCATTGAAGTCAAAAGTGTAGTGACTGACGCGCAAGCTATACAAGTTTTTAACCAAGCTTTAGATTGGGCTGAAAGAAAAGAAGTTTCATACACGGATATTTTAGTTCTTCGTAAATTACGGGCGCAGGCATTGGAAGACAATGCTAAACGCAAATTTAAGCAGACAAAAATTGTTAATTATTTTTCTTCTAATTAAAAAAAAACGTATCGCTGTTACAATATTTGTTTATTTTGTTATAAATAGTATGTATTAAACGTTTCTTTTAATAAATCAAATATTATATAAATCACGTTCTCTAATGTAAACATTTCGATAATGTGAACCACACTTGGATTAAATTAGTTTACATTATCGAGCGTCTGCTGTAGTAGTATACCTTCTACGAGTAACTCAAAGAAACTTTGTTAATCCGATTGCCGAACTGCCTAAGGCACAGGAGCGGTCGTATTGGCCAGTTCTGGCTTCTCCTAAAACCGACTGCAAACGCGAGAGGCGCTGAAATAATAAGCTTCAGACTATGCTAGTTAGAGAATCATTGTAAACTGATGATTATTGATTTACAAAGTTGCATCCTCCGAAATTTTGGACCATGATCATAAATAAAATTTATTGGTTTCGAATGTATGCTATTTTTAGGACGATCATTTTGAAATGTACCTGAGTCTGCAGCTGTTCATATCAGAAGTCATCAAGTCGTTAGTGAGGAGCGAACGAAACCAGCAAGTGATGTGTGATAAACAATTTGTGGGCAACATATTGACGATAGGTTCTGAACCGCTACAAAACGAGAACCATCCTCTTCATAGCCCATTACAGTACATGCTAGAGCGTCTGGCTGCTCAAGCCCTCGAACCAAATGACCTAAGGCAGTTTTTGAGGCTGGGCGATCCGTTCTGCTGCCAACCATTAGGTACTTAAGTTGTAGTAGTAGTAGTAGAAAGATTTATTTAGCACATTTGGCTACATAAACAGAATAATTGTAAACAACTTAGAACTAGTAAATTCAAGCCATATGGTGTATGATGTAAAGGCTGGGCAACCTATAATTGTAAATTTAACAAGTGATTTCTCAATTTTACTTTAAATTTTGTCAAAGTTTTCTGGTCTTTTATCTCCGAGTATAATTTATTATATTCAATCAACCCTTGATGGAATACAGATTTGTAGCATATGTTATACTTTTTGGTCATTAAATGGAAGTCATCTTTATTTCTGGTATTATGTAAATGATGGTCGACATTTGATGATGTTAAATTAGTTAGACTTGATGGAAATATATTATTTTTTACTTTATAAATGAATATCATTACAAGATATTTGATAAAATTTTTACATTGAGCCATTTTAATTTGCTAAGCATTTGCCTAATTGGAGTATATTTATCTTTATTTAGTATTATTCTCATGCACTTATTTTGTAAAATTTGCAGTCTTTCAAAAATGGAATTATTTGCTAAATATAGAATAGTCGAACAGTACAAGAAATTTGGAAGAATGATGGTATTATAGATAATTTTTCTGCTATATGAACTCAGACATCCAGAAACTCTCGATAAATATCCCACTTTACTACTAATCTTATTTATAACTTTTTCATAATGAATATCAAAAATTAATCGAGAGTCAACAAAAACCCCCAGGTATTCAAAATTTTCTACGAATTCAATATCTTCACCATCAATATTCAGTTGAACATTTGTACATTGTTTTTTCCGATTAACAAGGCTTTCGTTTTACTTGCATTTAATTTTAGTCTGTTAGATGCTAACCATTTTGAGACAAGCTTCAAGTCTTCATTTATATAAGAGATACCAGACTGAATATTTTTAGTACTTATATAAATCATAGTGTCATCGGCGAAAATCTGAATTTTGCATTTTTTGACTATGGCAGGTAAATCATTTATGTATAAAATAAAAAGAAGTGGTCCCAGGATACTGCCCTGTGGAACACCCAACGTATTTTCAATTTTTGATGAAACAGTGTCATTAACTTTTGTAACTTGCATCCTTTTAGACAAATAATTTCTAAACCAATCTAAAACACTTCCTGTTATACCATATGCCTTCAACTTACCTAACAAAATATCTCTATCAATCGTTTCAAATGCCCTCTTCAAATCCAAAAATACTGCTATGACAACTTCTTCTGAGTCTATGGCTCTTCTCCAATTCTCAGTTACCAACTGGAAAGCTGTTTCTGTGGAATATTTTTTTCGAAAGCCTGCTTGCGCCTCCATTAAAATTTTGTTTTCTTCTATAAACTGCATTAATTGGTCATGCACTATGGACTCTAATAATTTTTCAATGTCTGGTAACACATTTACTGGTCTCATATCGCTGCATCTTTTAGAATTTTTTATTTTGGGAACTGGTGTTATTGTAGAGCATTTCAAATTTTCAGGAAAAGAACTGCTTCTCAGTGAACAATTGATCCAATTTAATACAGGATATCCCAAAATTTCGAAACAGTTTTTCAGCACGTTTTTAGTAGTGATTTCGGCACAGTTGTTATTTGATTTTAAACTGTTTACTTTTTGATACGCTGTGAAATTTTGAAAGTGTATGCAACATTTCCCCCTGGAAACTGATTTTCATATAGTCAGGTGCAGCATTGGCAGTACCCACAATATCAACAATACTTTCCACAAAATATTCATTTAGTTTGTTTGCAATCACCAAAGAATTTGTTTCGGTACCGTTACCGAATTGAACTTGACTTACACAATCATGCGGCTTCGAATTGATAAGTCTTTTTAAAGTCTTCCACATCTTTACACTGTCGCACTTGTTATTATCGATTTGTTTATCGTAGAATTTCCTTTTTTCTTCTCTAATTACATATACACATTTATTCCTAAGAGTTTTATATACCTCCCAATCATCATTTGATTTTGTGAATATACATTTATTGTATTGTTTGTCTCTCAAATTTTGAGCTGCCTTAATATTCTTGTTATACCAGGGTGTATTTTTGTCGAGCAAATCACTTTTTTATCCGTTGCAAGATCTAAACAAGTTTTTATATTTCCTATTATGTTGTCATATATTTTTTCCGTATTCTCACCAAAATTCCAATAGCAGCCAGCAAGTTCTCGTTCAAGTTTTTCGTACTTGATAGTATTTACGATTTTCTTAATTTTTGTATCAGAAAAATGCCCTACCAAGGGCAGCATTGTCCAACTGTGATCGCTAACTTTAGGTGTATGTACAGCTTTAATCCCTGCACATTCGAAATTTACAACAACAAGATCTAACATGCATAATTTAAACATCTGTTGTGTACCCGCTAATTGGCGACCTACATTTTCGTATGGTAGATAGTTATCAAAAAACTTCCTATCTCAAACTAAACATTTCTCCGTTATTCATAGAAGTTGAATCTATCATTACTGTATTTTTTAGGGTCTAAAAAGCCAGGAGGCGGTCCTGTCCCTCTAACTCGGATCAAGACATTGGTATCCATGACGACACCAAAAGACTTTCGGACTCAGTCATCTCACACACTTCCGCCATTCGTGGAATTTGATATGTCTGCAGAGGGATTTGGTTGCCTTTACCTGCCCAGCATAGCTCCTCAGTCACCGTCAGCACCTAGCGTTGTGTCAGCCGTTGACAGCAGCGTATTAGGTAATTTTCTGGATAATGGGAATATATGGAGTTGTCCAAAACGGACGCAGGAAAGTAAACGCATATTGAAACAAGAAAGATTGATATTCAAATCAAGTTGGGTACTTTATTTTGAAGGTTCATTTATACCATTTATGTATGAAAAATAATATCGCTCAAATGTTCAACGAGTGGATTTAAAGACGTCCACGCGATGGTCGAAATTTTCAATGACATTTTGCAACATGGTCGGTTGTATGGCATTTATCTCGGCAATGATGTTGTTTTTGAGTTCTTGGAGGGTGGCTGGTTTGTTGACGTAGACTTTGCTTTTCAAATATCCCCATAAAAAGAAGTCCAAGGGAGTCAAATCGCACGATCTTGGTGGCCGTGGCACATTTCCTCTGCGCGAAATCACGCGATCACCGAAGAAGGACTGCAATCGATGGATATTGACGTTGGTTGTGTGGCATGTTGCACCGTCTTGTTGGAAATAAACATCGTCCATATCCATTCCTTCAAGTTGCGGCAAAAAATAGTCCTCTATCATCACGTGATATCGCTCAGAATTGACGGTAATGGCGTCCCCGGCCGCATTTTCGAAAAAGTAAGATCCGATGATGCCTTTTGACTACAGTGCACACCACACAGTCACTTTTTGAGGATGCATCGGCTGCTCTTGATACTCACGAGGATTTTCGTTCGCCCAGATGCGGCAGTTTTGCTTGTTTACCGTCCCATTCAAAGTGAAATACGGTTCGTCGCTGAACATGATTTTTGATGAAAAATTGGCATCAATTTGGCGGTGTTCAAGGAGCCAATCTGAGAACGTTTGGCGCGAAAAATGGTCGGCCCGACGCAGCTCTTGCGTCAATTGGATCTTGTAGGCGTGTTCATTCAAATCCTTGTGGAGAATGCGGAGCAAACTGGTTCTCGAAATGCCCGATTCTTGGGATCGACGCGTTGTTGATTGTTTCGGATCGTTTCTCACACTCTCCTTCACAACAGCAATATTTTCCGGTGTGCGAACGCTCCTTGGCCGGCCAAAGCCTGGCAGATTTGCCACAGAACCTGTTGCCTCGAATTTACGCACCAGACGACCGATGGTTGTTTCGTTTGGGCGGTTGCTGCGACACGAAGCGCGCGAAACGTGTTTTTTATTTTTGCACCATTTTTGTAGTGCTCTTGAATAACTTTAATGCGGTCTTCAATCGAATACGACTCCATAGCGATCAATGGCAAACATTCAACTAACAAAATGACATGTCGGTGACAGAAAACAAAGATGGCGTCTATGTCAAATTGACGTTTACTTTCCTGCGTCCCTATTGGACAACCCATTATAATGAGTGTTAATTATAATATCAACATCCTTAGTAGCACAGCATTATTAGGGTTGTCAAGACAGCTTTTGTCATAAACATCTGATCACACAATCTAGTTGCATCAGATGTTTTTTTAAATGTTTAATATTTACAATGTGTAAACTTTATGGTAGTCATTATTGAAATGGGTAATAGGGAGGGTCAAAACAAGTCAAAAAGTTCATGGTCGAAAAGTCAATAGATTTTTATCTAAATGGCTTTATAGTTTACAACTTTAAGTGCTTTATATAGACCACAATCACCACAATCTTACTAATTTTTATAATCTAATCTAAAACGTTTTTAAATTGGGTAATTAACAAATAAATGGCATTAAGTTTTTCTAAGTTAAGCCAAAATTTGTAGCCAGTAAGTAAGTTTCATTGAATTGAATATTTAAAACACACATGACAACAGCGCGTCGGTCATCGTCACTCTTATCGAACCGGCAATCGATCGCAAACGGTAACAGTGGTTAGTAAGTTGTTTTGTGTTTGTTCGCGTACGTCGTCGTCTTGATTTACAATGTTCTCGAATCAAGAGTTCGCCGACATGTTGTTAGTTTACGGTGAAGCTCGTCAGAATTCAAATCTTGCAGCTCAAATTTATTATTATATATATTTCGCCAACGGTTACACCCAGACAGAAGGACATTTGTGCAAGTGTACCAGAGACTTCGAGATACAGGAAGTGTTCAGCCCTCTAATATTCGCACTCGTGAAAGACAGGTTACTGTAGAGCAGGAGGAACAAATTTTAAATATCGTGGAAATCAATGCAGATATCAGCCCTCGGGAATTAGGCCGCCGCGCAGGACTATCGCATACCATAGTCCATAGAATCCTACGCGAAAATTTCCTCATACCATTCGTGAAGGTCATATCCAACACCGTTTTAAAATAAATATTTGGGCGGGTATTCTTGACGATCAGGTAATTGGCCCTTTCGAGTTACCCCCAAAGTTGTCAGGAGAAGGATACCTTAGCTTTCTAGCCAATAACCTACCAGAACTTTTGGAACAGACCTTAGACAACATGCCATTACAATGGAGACAGAATTTGTGGTTTCTTCATGACGGGGCACCACCGCACATTTTTAGAGGCGTCGTTCAGTATTTGAATGAACATTATCCAAATCGCTTGATCGGTCGAAATGCTCCTGATCCTCGAAAATGGCCAGCAAGATCTCCTCACCTATCCTCACCGATGTATTTCTGGTATTGGGGAGAACTTAAAGGGATGGTTTATGGGGTTGGTCCAATAACAACTGAAGCACAACTTCGCGAAAAAAATTTAATGCGGCTGAAATAATGAATGGACAACTTCGAGGACCTAGAGTAAGAAGAAACTGGGTTCGTCGTAATGAAGCTTGTGTAGAAAGTGGAGGACGACATTTTGAACACCTTCTTTAAATACAAAAAAAAGTACAGTATGGGTTTTAAAAAGAAAAACAATGTATGTATCAAAATTGTGTTCCCTATTTATAAGTGGATTTTTTTAATACGTTCAATAAACTTTAACACACCAGGTGAAGCGCTGAGACAGTTAGTGGTAAGTCCGTTTTTTTTAATTGTTTGCGTTTTACGAGTACATTATCAAATAATGAAATAATACCTAAGAGCCAAAAATAACAAACTCCATCTTTATTTACACTGCGTTCCGTCGTAATTTGCGTCTGGCATTGCGGCGTTGTCAGATTTCATTTTACTTTAAAGTCGCCTTTCTCCAAAAAAATACCGTTTTGACCCCCGTGTTATATGAAACTTATTGCTTCTTTTAACTCCCCTCTATCTCCCATTTAAATAATGACTATCATAACGTATATTACCTTTTTCAGGCTGCATACTCGTTCGAAAAATCACTTATATGTATTCTTTTTTCCATAGGAGGAATTGGTGCTGGAGATAGACTGTTTCCACCTCAAACTGGATTGAGTTACTCGACGTGGATCTGCGTGGATAAATTTTATGATCCAAGGTCTGATCCCCATTGTGTCAGGCTACTCACGCTGGTTCGTAGTTTCAACGGTGCTAGAGAGGATCACCTTGTGTGTTTATCGATCGTGTTGTCATCTAGGGATAAAGCTATAATCGTATCCACACAGGAAACGCATATTCCATCAAGTAAGTGTGAAGTATGCGAATTTTCGGGCGCGATCTAAGTCTCTAGAATCCAGAGATTGATGTATTTTTTTCTCTTATACGAACGTTAAATGCTTTCTGTTTGACAGCCTGCATCATTCAACGAAAACTAACGTCTATAATTCAGGGTGTCCGCAAAGTTGGGGTTTTCCTTTTCAGAAACAACTACCCTTGAAATAACAAAGGTAATGTGTAGTGAAACGAGGGCGACCAAGTAAAAAAAAATAAAGGAAAAAGTACTCACTCTCCAGTTGACGAGAAGGGCTAAGTACGTCTCTGCCCGAAATCATACTGCTCCGACAGAAAATGAAATCAGTTGATGCGATACCGAGCAGACGCAGAAACCAAATTGATTGTCTTACACTTAATGGCACACCTTCTAACAAGGAAGGCAAAATGTTGCGTAAAAAGTCTAGGTATTGCATCCCGTCCAATCGATTTGGGAGAATGAATGATCCAATGAGCATACCGTTCACCATGCCAGCCCAAACATTCACCGAAAATGTTTGTTTAAAATGTGCCCGACGGACTGCGTGCGGATTTTCTACTGACCAAACATGAGTGTTGCGAAAGTTATTCACCCCATTACGCGTGAACATAGATTCGTCTGTCACCAATATGCACTTCATAAAGTCCGGATTACTGTCATGTTGATGCAACAACCACTCACAAAACCCCACTCTTGCTGGAAAATCGTCAGGTTGAAGGGCTTGTACACGTTGGACGTGAAACGGATACAGCCCCTCTTCACGCAGCGTTTGCCACACTTTAGTTTTTGATACTTGCACTTCTCTAGCCACGTCTCTAGTGCTTGTTGAAGGATTCTCGTCTACGCGATTACCTCTACACGCGTGACCGTAACCGTCGGTTGAAGGTTGCATACTGACCTGACACACTGACCCCGACCCAGTTCTGTCGTCGGGTTGAGCCAGTGACTTTGTACCACTCGGGGATGTCGCGGCTACAGGACGGTATTCAGATATTTTTGATGTTGCATAGCCCTTTATCTCGGTTCTCTTAAGACATTGATGTATATGCTACTAAGAAAAATTGCTTATGTTTTCAAGATCTACACGTCGTGTAAAGGAAAACCCCAACTTTGCGGACACCCTTCATACTCAGGGAGCTTAACTATATAATAAAATCACGTGAACACTTACAATACAAGGTCTGTCTTATGTATTCTGATCAGATATGCATGTAATGTGGGATGTGTCCTTTACTCTTGACAAAGAAAATCTGCTTTGCTTTCAGATGTGGGCGATTGGGAGCCCGAAGGTTCTGGAGAGCATGGTGCAAGAGTTTGGTGTCCAGACATCTTACAAGAAGGCCACTGGCATCATTTGGTCGTCGTCTTGAACAGGGCTGTGTTGAAGAATTCTTCGTTTTCTCTCTATTTGGACGGCCAACAGATCCATTCTCAAAAGATGCACTATATATCTCAAAATCCCGGAGGCGGCTCCGCGAATTTGAGCGTGGCTTCCTCAGTGTACGGGTTCATTGGAACTCCACCTGCGTGGAGGAGATACTCTAGATTATGTTGGAAGCAAGGGCCATGCTTTTTGTTCGAGGAGGTAACACTTTGATCATTCATACAGAGCCTACTCATATACTGCACAATCATCGTAGTAAAAATTTATTAAAGAAACCAAAATTGTGATAAAAAATCGAGCTGGATTTAAAAAAAAATGTTCCACAGAAAAGCAATCCAAAAGATTGGAGAAGATATAGATATATTGTAACATTATTTTTAGTCTTCAAAAGGGCATTTGAGACTATAGATAGGGAAAAATTGTTAATTAAATTGCGTCACTAGGGCTTTAAAGGATCAGTATTACTCATTTTACAAAATTATTTAGTAAATAGAAGTCAAAAAACTAAAGTTGGAAATAGTATGTCAAGTGTTCAAAATATATCAGTAGGGATGTCACAGGGAAGTAAATTAGGGCCGTTAGTATTTATTATTTATATAAATGATATCTCTGACATTTTAGAACACTGCAAAATTCAAATATTTGCGGACGATACACTTATATACAGAGTGGCGCATGGAAAACAAAATAGTCGCATTTACTGGCAGCTCAGTTTTTTTTTGGAAAAACGCTCAGACCCGTCGATTTTGTTTTCGAGGGGGCACAAGTTTGGAAAAAAATCACGTTAACACGTGTAGCCCCCTGGGCGGGGGTGACACCAACCCTAAAATCTTAAATGGAAAGGGGGGCCGAGTGATACCTTATTTTAAAGGTCTTTCAATTCCCTTTATAATGATGTGAAATACATGAGCTTCAGTTCAGTAGTTTTGTAGATTTATGTATTTAAAGCTTAAAGTAGACTTATAGGTACATCAGATTAGTTTGTACTACTTTCAGAAGACATTTGGCTAAAAGAATTTACTTAGTAAGTACGCTACGCCCGTGGTTTGTTTATCATTTTGTTGTTGAAAATAGCTATTGGAGCGTTTATTTTTTGTGGCAAAAAAGTTATTTCTTGAAGAAAGATAAGGAAATATCTCGTACTTATTTTAAATAGGAATTTAGTACATAGTTTGAGATTGATTTGACCAAACTTTGTTGCTAAAATAACTTGTAACGCTTTATTACATAAATTAACCATGGTATATTCCACAGCAGAAAGAGTTGAAATTATCGAAATATTTTTCGGAAATAATCAGTGCGCTAATAGAACAGCAGACATATTCAATGGGCGACATGAGAACAGTAACGTGCATCGAAAATATGTTCTAGAACTTGTAGCTAAATTTCGGGAAACTGGGTCAGTCGCCAATAAAAAACGCAACATTGAAAATCCCATAAGGAACGAAGCAATAGAAGTGGGGGTTTTAGGGCAAGTTTATGTAGATCCTACGTTAAGTACCCGCAAATTGGAGACTGTGTATGGTGTTAGTCGACGTACTGTCCAAAGGATTCTAAAGGCCCATAGTTTTCATCCGTATAAAATTCACCTGGTACAAGAACTTAATGAAGACGATTTTGATCGGCGATTAGAATTTTGTGAAGATATGAGTGAACGAATTATAAACGATGAACATTTTCTATTCAACGCTTGCTTTTCCGACGAATGTTCCTTTTTTTTAAATGGCGTAGTAAATCGCCATAACTGCCGATATTGGTCCGATTCTAATCCCAGAATTTATCATGAGGTTCATACATAGCAGCCACAAAAATTAAATGTTTGGGCTGGTATTTTTGGCGATCATTTAGTTAGTCCTTTTTTCTTACCTGGAAATTTGATCGGTGAAATGTATTTGGTATTACTGGAAGACGTCATAGATCCTGCATTGACAGCCATAATTGAAAATCAGAATGATCGGCGGTACATTGCGAATAGGTTGATGTTCCAACAGGATGGTGCCGCACCACATTACGCATTACGTGTTCGACAATATTTAGATCAGACGTTTCCAGATCGATGGATTGGTAGAAGAGGTGCCATTGAATGGCCCCCAAGATCGCCAGATTTATCACCTTTGGATTTCTTTATGTGGGGGGAAAACAAAATCGACGGGTCTGAGCGTTTTTCCAAAAAAAAACTGAGCTGCCAGTAAATGCGTCTGTTTCGTTTTCGATGCGCCATCCTGTATATAGCAGATAAGCATTTGGACACTGCTTTAGAACTGTTAAATAGTGATATTGAAAAAATTATGAATTGGTTAAATGTCAATAAACTTAAATTAAACACATAAAACAAAATGTATGTCAATAGGGAAACATTTAGGTGATCTTCAACAACAACAAAAAAATAGCGAAAATTTCTGTGATATATATTGAAATAATTCTAAGTATTTTCTTTCTTTTGATAGTCAATTTTATGTTTTCAGGTCTTAAATCCAACCATAGTGACATACATGTACCAACTGGGTCCTCATTATATGGGTTCATTTTTAGCACTGAACATTTGTCCGCCAGATATCGGACAGTTAGTGACTGAAGAGAAAGTCGTTTTTGGTCTGAACGCCAAAGCCGTATCTCAATTGACGTTGAATAAAATCAGGAAAGTTTACAGCAAAACGGACAACAAGTCTATAGCAAAGCAACTGGGCATGTCCAGCCATGAAAGTGCCACCCCTATAAGGATCCTGCATAATTCTGCTGGGCATTTAGCTGGATCTGCGCGGACACTTGGTGGCGTCGTTATAGGCTATTTGGGTATGTTTATTATAAACTCACTAGTTACACTAACGTACAGGGTGTCCGCAAAGTTGGGGTTTTCCTTTACACGACGTGTAGATCTTGAAAACATAAGCAATTTTTCTTAGTACCATATACACCAATGTCTTAAGGGAACCGAGATAAAGGGCTCTGCAACATCAAAAATATCTGAATACCGTCCTGTAGCCGCGACACCCCCGAATGGTACTAGGACACTAGCTAGGCACGTGGCTAGAGAAGTGCAAGTATCAAAAACTAAAGTGTGGCAAACGCTGCGTGAAGAGGGGCTGTATCCGTTTCACGTCCAACGTGTACAAGCACTTCAACCTGACATTTTTCCAGCAAGAGTGCGGTTTTGTGAGTGGTTGTTGCATCAACATGACAATAATCCGGACTGTTTGAAGTGCATATTGGTGACAGACGAATCTACGTTCACGCATAATGAGGTGAATAACTTTCGCAACACTCATGTTTGGTCAGTAGAAAATCCGCACGCTGTCCGTCGGGCACATTTTCAACAAACATTTTCGGTGAATGTTTGGGCTGGCATGGTGGACGGTATGCTCATTGGACCATTTATTCTCCCAAATCGATTGTACGGGATTCAATACCTAGACTTTTTACGCAACATTTTGCCTTCCTTGTTTGCCTGCGTCTGCTCGGTAGCTCATCAGATGGTTTCATTTTCTGTTGGAGCGGTATGATTTCGGGCAGATACGTACTTAGCCCTTCTCGTCAACTGGAGAGTGAGTACTTTTTCCTTTATTTTTTTTTACTTGGTCGCCCTCGTTTCACTACACATTACCTTTGTTATTTCAAGGGTAGTTGTTTCTGAAAAGGAAAACTCCAACTTTGCGAGATATGCTTTATTACTTGAAGAATACAATCATTCTCAATGAGTATAAGTACTCGTATATACAGGGTGATTCACAAGTCGTCAAGGATGGCGGAGATACTGGGGGTTAGTGGCATTATTTTTCCAAATAAAAATAGTACGCCACTGTTTTTTTCTTCGATACGCGCGTAGTGTTTAAATAAATTTCTTCATTAAAAACAATCCGAAAAATATTTTGTTGCAAATCTTTTAGGACGTACAGCTTATTTTCAATTTTAGGTGTGAGAGTGTTCTGTCCACGACCAGTAGCGACCACCGTCGACACGGTTGGAGGATGCGCGGTTCTTCTGGGCCTCATAGCAATGGCCCAGGATATTGAGAGCCTCTACGCGGGCGTGAAGGCTCTGGTATGCGTCGTGAGGAGTAACAAGGTGTGCCAAGCCGAGATGGACAGGAAGAGAGGGTATCAGACCTTGGCCATGTTGTTGAGGAGGAAGAGGACTTTGCTGAACTCGCATATTTTGCATTTGGCATTCAGCTTGGTCGGGACGGTGGATAGCGGCAGGGAATCTTCGGCTATTCCTAACAAAATGGCTTTTCAGGTAAGCACATTATAAACGTACAGGTTACATAAGTTAAAGTAAAAGTAATTTTTTATAAATGTGTAGGTCAATGTGGTAATAAGTACTGAAACAACATTAAACAACCGGGCAGTAGCTGTTGCAATGCTCCCATTTTGGTAATACAGTTTGGTTATTTCTACCCTTTCTTGAATTGAATAAGTCATTGTTCAATATTTATCACAACTAGGTAGGTAACTTAACAATTTGAGATGGAAGACAAAGTTTTTCTATAACATACGATGACACTGACTGATGCTAAATGTTCTTGCTGGTATCCTTGATTTTTTTTTCGTGCATTCTATTATTATCAATATTAAGTTAGTCGAATTTCATTATAAACCCAAATTGCCTCACAACGATTGAAGATAGGTATAAATTTTATTATACAAAAAACTTCATGGAGAATCTCACAATTAAAAAAAATGGGGATTCCATTTTAAAAATCTGAAGTGTAATGCAAATCTTATTTATGGATCACCCTATATTATACGGCTATAGATGAAAAGACGTCCGCCTAGAAATCAAAATTGACGAGCGTTTTTCCTAAAATATACCAGGAGAATCACAAATGGGAGTGCGACTTTTTCGTTGGGTCACCCTGTATAAGATTATGTTTCTAAATAGTTTGCAAAAGATAGCAAAAACTGACACTAGATATCATCTGCTAGTACTCCAAAGTTCAAAAACATGTTTATCCCAATTGGGGCCAAGGGGAAAAGCTTATTAAAAACATCTATGAGTAATACTAATATAAAGAAGTGAAGCTAAAAATAGTAATCCGTTCAATTCACGGAGTACAAAAAGCAACAATAAAGTCATTTTTATTATACTGAATTGAAGTTCATACTCTCTTTATTATGATGTTCAAATATTTAAATATGATAGTCTGCCAAGGTAAAGGTCGTGTAAACACAGTTCTGATTCCAGGAACGATTTATTGCTTAAGGTATTAACTTTAAAATAGGTAATAACTTTCAATCAGTTTCAACACTTTTTTCTCAGGTTTTGCTAGGTTTTGATATAGTTAGACAACTGTGCGTCTTTGAGAAATGGCGCTAAAAATTAAGTACCCTTTACGTCTCCCATTTTCTATCTGGCCCTATACATATATTTATTTCACGATTATTCAAGGACCTACTGTGCGATCTGGAAATCTGGCACGAAGCTCCCGGAGAACTGCTCAGATCCCACTTGGAGCATTTATACGAGCTGGCCGCCGAGTCTAACGAGAAGAAGACGAACGTATTTGTAATGCGTGAATTAAACCTCGTGGAGAAATTGCTGTACATCACGCCGGAAGTGAAGCATCCGACTACCAAACAAATACTGTTCTCGCTCATGAGTATACTACTCAGTGGACAACCAAGGCAAAATGATCTACTCATCTTCGGGCAGTTTATAGCATCGACTCTGCCTAACTGTTCGATACCCTCAGAGAAGAATATACAACTTTTGGAAGGAGTCGTCCAAGGCAAGTATACAAATTGAATAGCAACTAATCCATTCTGGTCTAAAAATATAAATGAATATCTTTTCAAAACATCATGTCGACATTTTAAGAAATCGCAGAAATGTCATTGCTTGATCTTTTCTATAAACCCTTCTCTGGCGTGATAATTTTGATTTGCATACACGCAAAATCGTGAAGCGTTCCACATTTTCTAAAATAAATAACATTTTTTCAACCCATGTGATTGAGATTGGCCAGAGAAATATGGAAGATTAACATTTGAAAACAACTTATTGTCATTGAGGAATCGTTTATTGTTTCACATAGTTTCTATTCTCATTCATTCAACTAAATCTTCTCTCTTAGATGACACAGAGAACATCAGGCTGAGGAACGCCTGTCTAGCGCTTCTTCACACCATCATTTTTACCAGTAGAAACCACGTTGGAGATGAAATCTCCAGAATGCTAGGATTTGACTGGCTACTTTTATTTCTGCAACCACATATTCATTCCTCTACGATCATCTGGGCATTGAGGATACTTGTGGCTACGTGTTCTAGTCCCATGCTGCTTGCTCGGTAAGATGGTGACACAACTAAGGCAGGATGCAAACGCACAGTTTCGAAATCCACAGTCTGGTCTTCCGTAGATCCGCGTACGAAAAGTAGGTCAAATGTCAAAAGATTTAGTACGTCGCAGAACCAGAACGGAGAACCAGAATCCGGAAATCAAACTAAGAAACTGTGCGTTTGCGTTGGGACCCAAAAACGTTGACAGAAAACACTCCTATCATAATCTGGTACATTATTTAAGACGGGATATTGAACAGTTAGGAATAGAGAAGAGCAACTTTTTGCTATAAAATAACATGCGTATACAAGAAGTACTTGTTTTTCTGAATATCCAACTAATCTTATGATATGAAAAAACTAACTGAATTCTAGTGGTCTAATAGTAGTAGTAGTAGTAGTTGAAAGATTTATTTAGCACATTTGGCTACATAAACAGAATAATTGTAAACAACTTAGAACTAGTAAATTCAAGCCATATGGTGTATGATGTAAATGCTGGACAACCTATAATTGTAGATTTAACAAGTGATTTCTCAATTTTACTTTAAATTTTGTCAAAGTTTTCTGAACTTTTATCACCGAGTATAATTTATTATATTCAATCAACCCTTGATGGAATACAGATTTGTAGCATATGTTATACTTTTTGGTCGTTAAATGGAAGTCATCTTTATTTCTGGTATTATGTAAATGATGGTCGACATTTGATGATGTTAAATTAGTTAGACTTGATGGAAATATATTATTTTTTACTTTATAAATGAATATCATTACAAGATATTTGATAAAAAAATTTACATTGAGCCATTTTAATTTGCTAAGCATTTGCCTAATTGGAGTATATTTATCTTTATTTAGTATTATTCTCATGCACTTATTTTGTAAAATTTGCAGTCTTTCAAAAATGGAATTATTTGCTAAATATAGAATAGTCGAACAGTACAAGAAATTTGGAAGAATGATGGTATTATAGATAATTTTTCTGCTATATGAACTCAGACATCCAGAAACTCTCAATAAATATCCCACTTTACTACTCATCTTATTTATAACTTTTTCATAATGAATATCAAAAATTAATCGAGAGTCAACAATAACCCCCAGGTATTTAAAATTTTCTACGAATTCAAAATCTTCACCATCAATATTCAGTTGAACATTTGTACATTGTTTTTTTCCGATTAACAAGGCTTTCGTTTTACTTGCATTTAATTTTAGTCTGTTAGATGCTAACCATTTTGAGACAAGCTTCAAGTCTTCATTTATATAAGAGATACCAGACTGAATATTTTTAGTACTTATATAAATCATAGTGTCATCGGCGAAAATCTGAATTTTGCATTTTTTGACTATGGCAGGTAAATCATTTATGTATAAAATAAAAAGAAGCGGTCCCAGGATACTGCCCTGTGGAACACCAAACGTATTTTCAATTTTTGATGAAATAGTGTCATTAACTTTTGTAACTTGCATCCTTTTAGACAAATAATTTCTAAACCAATCTAAAACACTTCCTGTTATACCGTATGCCTTCAATTTACCTAACAAAATATCTCTATCAATCGTTTCAAATGCCCTCTTCAAATCCAAAAATACTGCTATGACAACTTCTTCTGAGTCTATGGCTCTTCTCCAATTCTCAGTTACCAACTGGAAAGCTGTTTCTGTGGAATATTTGCTACAATTTTAAAGCCTCATCCCTTCTATTGATCTGTTTTCAGGTTCAGAGAAGGAAGCATAAACGGTGGCTGGCTCAGGCACACAGAGCAAATAACGCACAACAAAATAAACCTAGCCCTCGGTTGTGCCTCAAACAGCCTCCAGAACAATGACCAAAAGTTCGAAGCTTTGCACATTCCTGGGTTCCAGTACCTGGAATGGCTCCTACCGCATCACCTAGAGATCCCCGAGATTTACTTCCTTTTAACAGCCTTAATGATGGGTCAACCAGCCAAGTTGTTGCCGTCAGAAACAAAGTTCGATTTGGACACAGTGTGGTCATTCCTATGGGGCAGTAACATTAGCACCCAGCCCATCAACAGTGTCACACCAAGGATAAATTTGTGCCCTGAAGCTGCTGTAGTACTTTTGGCAATGACACGGGCTATGGTGCATGCGGATGAGAGCACTCTACCGGACTGGTTGAAGAATCACCCCGTCTCCATTATTCAGGTAAAGCGACATGCATATGCGCTACATAAAACTAAAATTACAAGACATAATTGATAGAATGGTATCCTATTTTTCACGACTTCACATTTTGACGTCTATTGACGTGAACGATCAGCAATGGACATCTTTGTGTATAGCCTTAGATATGACCTCCAACCCCTTATCGTTTTCTTTGAGATTTTTTGGCCATTTACGATAAATATTTCATTGTAGGACCTCAAAAACGCACCCCTTACGTATTTAGCACATTACCATAGACACAATTTTTACTTTAGAACTCTCCTGATTCATTTGTATAAGCTGTGTGTTGCCTGAACGTCAAATTATTTTTATGTCACAAAATCATCGATATACCACCCGAAACATCAACATTAAACTCGTTCATAAAATATTGTCAAAAAAGTGTCATGTAATGCACAAGGTCACCGTTTTGTGGTTTCATTTTTTTTTTAATAGAAAAGCATTGTCAAAAAAGTGCCAGATACTGAAGAAGGCCACCTTTATAGTAGTAATACTGTTTATTTCAAAAAATATGTAATACATTCACAAAATTAAGGTTGTGAGTACAACTAACTGAAAAGTTTGTGCGTGTCCTGATTCAATAGAATTATTTATTTCAAGGTCTAACTTGATGAAATTATAAGCAGTACACAGTCTGAGAGCTTGAAAAACCTATCAATACTGTAGTGACCGAAATACAGGGTGTAAACGTTATGATAGTCAGTATTTAAATTGCTGATAGAGGGAGTTAAAAGTAGCAAAAAGTTTCATATAACATGGGGGTCAAAACGGCATTTTTTTTAGAGAAAAGCGACTTTAAAGTAAAATAAAATCTGACAACGCCGCAATGCCAGACGCAAATTACGACGGAACGCAGTGTAAATAAAGATGGAGTTTGTTATTTTTGGCTCTTAGGTATTATTTCATTAATTGATAATGTACTCGTAAAATGCAAACAATTAAAAAAAACGGACTTACCACTAACTGCCTCAGCGCTTCACCTGGTGTGTGAAAGTTTATTGAATGTATTAAAAAAATCTACTCATAAATAGGGAACACAATTTTGATACATACATTGTTTTTCTTTTTAAAACCCACACTGCACTTTTTTTGTATTTAAAGAAGGTGTTGAAATGTCGTCCTCCACTTTTCACACAAGCTTCATAACGACGAACCCAGTTTCTTCTTACTCTAGGTCCTCGAAGTTGACCATTTATTATTTCAGCCGCATTAAATTTTTTTTCGCGAAGTTGTGCTTCAGTTGTTATTGGACCAGCCCCGTAAACCATCCCTTTAGGTTCTCCCCAATACCAGAAATCTATCGGATTGAGGTCAGGAGATCTTGCTGGCCATTTTCGAGGATCAGGAGCATTTCGACCGATCCAGCGATTTGGATAATGTTCATTCAAATACTGAATGACGCGTCTAAAAAAATGTGGTGGTGTTCAGTCATGAAGAAACCACGAATTCTGTCTCCGTTGTAATGGCATGTTGTCTAAGGTCTGTTCCAAAAGTTCTGGTAGGTTATTGGCTAGAAAGCTAAGGTATCCTTCTCCTGACAACTTTGGGGTTAACTCGAAAGGGCGAATAACCTGATCGTCAAGAATACCCGCCCAAATATTTATTTTAAAGCGTTGTTGGAAATGACCTTCACGAATGGTATGAGCATTTTCTTGGGCCCACGTGTGAGTATTATGGAAATTTAATATCCCGTCTCGCGTAAACGTACATTCGTCCGTCGCTAGAATGTTTTTAAAAAATCCAGATTTTCAATGTTTCTGTGCAAAAACCACTGACAGAATGTTAGTCTGCGAGGATACTCTTCTGGACTATGGACTATGGTATGCAATAGTCATACGCAGCGGCCTAATTCCCGAGTGCTGATATCTGCATTAATTTCCACGATATTTAAAATATGTTCCTCCTGCTCTACAGTAACCTGTCTTTCACGAGTGCGAATATTAGTGGGCTGAACACTTCCTGTATCTCGAAGTCTTTGGTACACTTAAAAACATGTCGGCGAACTCTGGTATTCGAGAACATTGTAAATAAACCCGACGACGTACGCAAACAATAACTAACCACTGTTACCCTTTGCGATCGATTGCCGGTTCGATAAGAGTGATGAATGACCGACGCGCTGTTGTCATGTGTGTTTGAAATACTCAATTTAATGAAACTTACTGACTACAAATTTTTGCTTAACTTAAAAAAACTTAATGCCATTTATTTGTTAACCCTTTCAAGGCATATTTTTAAATTTTTAAGCTATTTCATTTATAGCTGAAAAAAATGAAGTGATAAGATCTCAAAAGCATTAAAAATAGCCCAGAAAATTTTTCCATTTGGAGAAAAAGGAATTAGTAGGTGGTATCACCATGATACCACCAAGCACTAAAATAATACAATGCAGATATTACTGAAACATATATTTAATTAAGATAATGTTATAAAAAGGAGTTTGAAGTAAAATCATACAACTTATTTGCTATGATATTTTTCAAAGCAATTTTTTGGTCAGTGAGACACAAACCGACATTGCAAGTACTGCACGACCATCGCGTACGGTGTTGATCCGCTTTTGTGCTGTAAAATGCACATCTTCTCGAAGACGAATGTTTTGGCATATGAGCAGCTTGGTCTGTGCGCTTTTCTATAGGAATATTTGCTTTGAATTTGTTTGGGGGCATCTCAGTACTTGGTCTACCTCTTCGGGGATTTTCAGAAGCTGCACCAACCAATCCAGTTGCTACACTCAAACGAAAACTTTTCAAATCTAAGGATTTTTCCTTACACCTTTCAGTGTATAGAATATATGCATTAACTACATTTTTTGAAATAAACACTCAATTTATGACCACGCACGCCATTGACCTGCACACTGCGAAAACAAATCGATAAATGTCAAATAACAAGCTGTTAGGAATGGCCTCCTATGTAAATAATTTTTTTCATACTAGTTGGCAATATAGTACTACTTCTTACACGGTGGTATCGGCAGATAACCACTCCGCAGCGCCGTGATAAATTATTAAAAAGGTGGTTTCATGGTGACACCACAAAGCTTGAAAGGGTTAAGTACCCATTTTAAAAACGTTTTAGATTAGATTATAAAAATTAGTAAGATTGTGGTGATTGTGGTCGATATAAAGCACTTAAAGTTGTAAACTATAAAGCCGTTTAGACAAAAATCTATTGACTTTTGGACCATGGGTCATATGACTTGTTTTGACCCGCCCGATATATAACGTTTGCACCCTGTATATACATTAATTAAAGAATAATTTTAAATACATGCGGTTTTATTTGCCAGACAAACATTACTCGTCATGTTCATCACGCAGGTGCTGTTCCAACTGTACCACAACATGCCCGAATTCATGCCGATTTTCATGTCATCGGAAGTCCTCGGAGCCCTGGCAAGGGTTCTCTTTCCTCCTTCGGCGACCGGCAGTAGTGAAAGCAGCGGTGTATCCACTCCAAACAGCGAAGATGCAGATAACATCATAATCATCCCCAGGACTCCAGAAGGCGAATCTTTGACTAACCACCCTGTGAGGCAGTTCGTGATCGATTTTATCAGAGTTATCGTCGTGGATTCGCTCAGTTTGTCTGTTTCTGGGAAGGGATCGCCGGTGATCGACTTGGTGCTTGACGCTTATCCTGACAAATCGACGACTTCGCAGCAAATTTGCTATCAGACCGAGATTCTTAGCACTTTGATGGATCATCTACTAGCAGCAGACATGTTAGGTATGTCACGATTCATAATAACGGGTGATTTTTTAAGAGGTATAGGATTTGATTTCCAAAAAAAAACAAAAAATTTGAAAAAACAATTCAATCTTTATTTGAGTCGATAGAACGGTCGATATAATTTAATGTTTAAAGATTATTTCATGTAAATGTTGGCCGCGGCTCCGCTTTAGATGGTCCATGCGCAAGGTCCAATTTTGGCACACTCTCTCCAACATATCGCCCGGTATCTCGCGAATAAATGCTTCAATACTGGCTTCCAGTGCGTCAATCGTTGCTGGTTTATCCCTGTAGACATTAGCCTTAACATGGCCCCACAAGAAATAGTCCAACGGCGTTAATCACACGATCTAGGCGGCCAATTGACGGGCCCCAAACGTGAGATAAACTGTTCACCGAACTCGCCTCGCAAAAGGGCCATTGTTTCGTGTGCGGTGTGGCATGTGGCACCGTCTTGTTGAAACCACATGTCAGTCAAGTCCAGCTCTTCCATTTTGGGCAAAAAAAAGTTTGTTATCACCGCACGGAGCGCTCGCCATTCACAGTTACGTTCCGGCCATTGTCGTCTTTGAAGAAGTACGGCCCGATGATGCCACCGGCCCATAATCCACACCAAACAGTGATTTTTTCGGGATGCATTGGTAGCTCTTGCAATGCTTCTGGCTGGTCTTCACTCCAGATGCGGCAATTTTGCTTGTTAACGTACCCATTCAACCAGAAATGAGCTTCGTCGCTGAACACAATTTTTCGATAAAAATGTGGATCTTCCTCCAACTTTGCCAGCGCCCATTCACCAAATGGGAAACGTTGTGGGAGGTCGTGTGGCTTCAATTCTTGGACCAGCTGTATCTTATCAAAAATTTTCCACGTAGTGGAGTAACAGAGGCCCAATTGCTGCGAACGGCGGCGAATCGACATTTCACGGTCATCACTAATATTGGCGGATACAGCCGCAATATTTTCTTCAGTCCTCACTCTACGTCTGCGTGTTGGTGGTTTAATGTCCAATAATGTAAACTGGGTTCGAAATTTAGTCACAAGCTTCCGAATAGCTCCCTCAGTAGGCCGACCAAATTGCCCATAAATTGGAAGCAGTGCTCGATGCACTCTCTTAACCGAGCATGAATTTTGATAGTAAAATTCAATAATTTGCAAGCGTTGTTCGTTCGTAAGTCGATTCATGGTTAAATTATAGACCAAACTGAACAAGTTTGACAATGACACAAGACACGATTCTCGCGTCATCTGTCAAAAAAGTGTTGCCAAAAAGATACTAGCAAAAAAATCACCCATTACTTGTATTAGTCGATTATTTTGTAAAAGCTGTTCAAACAGGTACTTCGGGATTTTTTTTTAAATAAACCCAACAACTTTGAAAAAATAACATGCTTCATTGTGTCCAAAACGACATGCTCCACAATCCCGCTCGATTTGAAAAATACAGCTACCATTTTTTTCTTAACAGATCGAGATTTTCCTCATCATCAAAGACCCAAACTTTGTTTTGAGCCTTGGTAATAATAGAGCCAAATCTCGCCACCTGTCGTTTCTTGAAATACCTATTGTAACACACTTTAGTATGAATTTATACGGGGTGCTTCTTCAACAGGAGCAGCAATCTGACGAATGATCCTGTGCAATACAATTATTACATCCTTTGAGTACTTTTGAAAAATCTGTATTACTGAAACAAGCATAACCCTTGTGCTTGAAATTTAAATCTTTTTTCCTCAGTGGGAGATCAAGCAGCTATTCCAATAGTGCCACTGCAAAACGCTCATATCCAGCATGTGGCTCCGAATGTGTTCTATTTCACTGCTAGAATCGTTGACAAGCTGTGGCAAGGACTTCTAACAAAGGATCCACATGAAGTGTTCGATTTCATTGTAAAACTCATCTGCCAAGCGAAGAGACGAACTGCGAATTTATCTCTTGAATGTTTGTACCACTGCTTGAACAGAAGCATTCTGTTTTTACTGTCAAGACCTACCGACAGTATTGCCGATCAGATGTCTGTGCTAGAGGCATTACATAAACTCACGACTAACAGGTATGTATAAATGAACTTCTAACAGTTCTCAATTGTGTTTTACTATTTTACCTTAAGCCAAATTATTTTTGTCAAAGGAAGCCGGTGTCAAATTTGTTTGTTTGTTGTTGTTTGTTAATTTGTTTGTTTTATTTCCATATGCAAAACTTAAAGGACATCTCTCGTATTACAATTTTGCAGATGAAAATCTATATTGCCTCGTAGTTCTGCAAATGACTTTAATTTCAAGTTTTCTAGATGTGGCGGTAATAAATGATTTTTTTAATTTGAATATGAAAATCAGAACTAAATAACATAATAAAAATTTACATTCAACCACTGCAGTTCTTCTAACGTAGACCTAATCTTAGCATATTCGTTCTTATTTAAAATGACTCTCATAGCTTTGTTTTGTAGCAATTGTATTTCATTTGCTGTAAACAAGATAGTTAAACAATACAATATAAAAAGTGGGTAAGAATTATGGTGTTATTCACATTTTTTTTGTAATACATACTGAGATTATTATTTATGTTGTTGCAGTCATATTTACGTTTAGCGGAGAATCTCACTTTCTATATTTTTAGATCTCTGATGAAGTTGCTCATAATTTTTCTGCAACTCACCGCATTTATCAGCTTGGCGTACCAAAAACTTAGCTTTTGCTCAATAATTATAACAACCTTCTAAGTAAAATCACTTATTGCTAAACCAATAAACATCTCCAGAAAAACACAGGATTTTCACTGGTTCAATTTCAGTGATTACGTTGTATATTTCCTAGGCTGATTGTGTTTGGAGCTGGCAATCACGAGCTAGACTTTATTGGCTGCTTAACCTACTGCCTGCTTCAGTTGACTGAAGACATGAAGATCATGCTAGATACGAACATGAAAACGACGTGGCATGTAAACCCGCACAATACTGATGTTGAATCTCGAGACGAGCAGTTGAACGTTCACCAGGTAGGCACAGTCAAAGTCAACATACTCCTGATAACTTACTTCGCAAAAACCTCTGTATCCTAGTACAAGGTGCGTCATTTACTACTTTTTTTTTCTATTTGAAAAATCAACACGCTTTTTACGATGTGAAACCGAATTTTTTATTGATAAATGAAGGTTGGTTTATGCCATTTATGTGTGAAAAATAACATCAGTCATGTGACCACCGCGGCTTCGTTTACAGGACAACAACCGAACATCAAAATTTTCAATGACTTTTCCCAGAATAATCGGGTCTATGGCCGCAATTTGAGTTCGAATATTGCGCTTTAGGTCTTGAATTGTCCGGGGACCATTCGCATACACTTTTCCTTTCAAAAATCCCCAAATAAAATAGTCAAGAGGTGTTAAATCGCACGATCTCGGGGGCCAACAAAATTATGCGGTCTTGAAATTTCGTGTGCAATAAGGCGATTGTTAGGCGAGATGTGTGAACCGTTGCTCCGTCTTGATGAAATCAAAGATCTTCGGCACCAATACGATCCAATTGTGTCCATAAAAAGTCGGTTAACATGCCGCGATAACGTTCGCCGTTGACGGTAATGGCCTTTTTTTCGGCATCTTCAAAGAAGCATGGTCCAACGATGCCACCAGCCCATAATCCGCACCATACAGTCACTTTTTCAGGATGTAGAGGTTGTTCATGATATTGATATGGATTTTCAGCCTCCCAGAATCTGCAATTTTGCTTATTTACATACCCATTGAGGTGAAAATGAGCCTCATCAGAAAAGAGCACTTTGGCCGAAAATCCGTCTTCTCTTTCCAGCATCCAAATAACAAAAACACGCCGCTGTTGATGGTCTGTCGGCTTAGTTCTTGTGTTAGTTGGATTTTGTATGGATTGAGGTGTAAATCAATTTGTAAAATCCGGCGTAAAGTGGTATCACTAATTACCAATTGTTGCGAACGGTGCCTAGTCGAGGTGGTTGGATCTTCTCGTTTTCGTAATAAGTTTGGATAAACAAAATGCGTTGTTGTATTGTAAACGAATCCATGACTATAAATGGCACACCTTTGACAGTTCATTTATGCATACCACATGACTTTTGACTCACATGGTAACACATAAACTTATAGGTAAAAAAAAGTAATAGATGGCGCACCCAGAATAAGCAATTGAGTAATCTTTTCAGATCTGAATAACTTCTCGCCCACGTTTATCTAAACCACATTTTTTACAGGTTCATTGTATATTTTACACAAAGTTTTGATAGATTGACGGATAAATATAAAATTCGACAACTTAAAGAAAGTGTACAGCGGGTCCCATCTCCCAATTGGGCGATGTCATCTGGCCCCCAAGATCACGAGATTTAAAAGCCTCGGACGACTTTCTGCGATATTTTTTAGGGGATATTCAAAATGAAAACCAACCAAAAATTGATCTACGATGTTTATAAATTAAGAAATGAGACTGACAACGTAGATTTCGATCTGGAAACCCTGGAGTTATTATTATATATATTATATGAAGTTATTTTGAGGGTAACAATATAAAATTGTAATTATGCTTGAATACAAAGAAATAAAAACAATCAGTCTCACTTAATTTACAGATCTCGCATGAGAACTTATTTGTGTAGATATCTAGTTTTTCAGGGTCAAGAATCATTTAGGTTATTTCAAGTATCTCATGATATCAACATACAAGGATATTTTCCTTTTGTGACACATCAATTTATTCACAATTTGTAATTGATGTGAATACATTATTATTATCTCATTGATTGGAGGTGCATTATTACCTTTGATGTTTTATTATATAGCGTTGGAATGAAAGGGATTTTAAGCAGCCATTTTTAAAGATGTTCTTGATATTAATATGTTTCCCAGGGCAAAAACTTGATGGCAGGAGCTGCCTTACGAGTGTGGGAAGAATTGTACGTATGCAAGAAACCAGCTATTGAAGAGGTCTTCAAGGTCACTTTAGTACCGCCCAATCAGAACTCCAAAGCGCCGGATCTAAGGATTGTTAGGGAACAGGTTTTCGAGGCAGCATCCAAGTTGTGGTTGAACTATGTTGAATCTGAGAGGAAAGCGAGCTACAGGTAAAATACTACAGGGTAGCATTTATTATTTTTGTACATATTGGATATTTCTGATCAAAAAGTCAACTTATTACAGACATTAGTCATTAGTATGTATCAAATTTGTTTCAGAGTTCCCTGGGAACTACACAACCAAATCCAGTCAAAAATTCATAAGGTAACTGGTGGTCTAACAAGACTGGCCAGTAGAACCAAAGTTAGAAAGGAGGATACGGTAAAACTGAGAACTACTTTGAGCAAAAAACAAGCATTTGCTTGGTTGCAGACACACGTCGGGATATTAAAGTAAGTTCTTATATCCTACAAATGGTTACGGTTTTCTTGGTATGCAGGTGTGGCTTTGTAAAGATTATCAAATTTTCTTCTGCAGGGATCTGGTTGAGATGAGGCGTCAACAACACCAAAACACCACCCAGCATACTCAAAGATACGTTCATCAAGAGTGGTTACAAACTGAAAGTGAATTGACCAGAGAAAGAGGGCTTTGGGGCCCACCTGTACCATCTCATCTGGATAAGTGGATGCTGGATATGACAGAGGGGCCGCATAGAATGCGGAAGAAAACTATGAGGAATCCCCTGTTCTACACACATTACCCGTATAGACCGGAGCATGAAAAAGGAACTTTGAAGTACAAGGTATGTGAAGCTATCATGGGAATAAATACAGCTTTATTTATTGACCTCGTTCAAAGCAATTTCCACCACATTCAATACACTGCTCCATCTTAATTTTTAGGTGCCGATCAGTTACCATAGCAAAGAGTATTATACTGCAATCCAAATGCGAAAACAGTCTAGTGTGGGCGAGAACATAATAGAAACTGAAAAGGATACTGTGGTAGACGAACCTTCTCCATTGCCATTTAACCCTGCGCTCCCTCAGTTGACGAGGCTGAGGTCGGATCCAGAAGATCAGCAGGAAGATGCTGATACTGAGGAGGAACAAGCATCACAGCCTGACAATCAAACTTTGATGCGATTATTAGAACAAAACGAAAAAGTATGTCTTAAAAATGTTCACATTTACTATGTCTTTGATTATGCCAGCCTTTCGTATAAGTAGTGGCTGAATATGTTAAACTTTGCTGAGGTTTAAAGATTGTTTTTCTAAGACAATGATTTGAATCCTTACTTGTGCTGTTTCTGTATTAAAGTTTTATTGTGATCATCATATTGTTCTAGATAACTTACATGTTCAGATGTGCCAGAATCCAAGGATTGGATACAACGGAAGGTCTATTATTATTCGGACAAGAATACTGTTATGTTGTCGATGGATTTACTCTTTTGAAAAGCAGAGAAATCCGGGACATAGACAGTGTTCCCCATAATGCGAATGAATATGAACCAATTTTACCCTCTCCTGGTTCACCAAGAAGATCAAGAGCAATGAGACAGTGTTCAAAGTTCGGATACGATGATATCAGGTCAGTTACGTGTTGGCAACGATTTGGTTTTTTTATTTTGCAGCTCTGTTCGTACTAGATTAAGTTCAATATTTTTCCTTTTTCCACAGTACATGCATAACCTCCAAAACCTCAATGCATAATTTTTATAGACAAACTAGACTGTCTAAGGGTGTTTTTATAGCGTGCTAAGTAGTTTATCTTCTCAGTAATTTTTGTATATTTGAGGGTACATCTGTGTGCTATATCGTAATTATTAGCTACTGTTTTTGTGCTGACGGTAACGATTTTTTTCATAGGGAGGTACATAAAAGAAGGTACCTACTGCAACCAATGGCCTTAGAAGTATTTTCCGGGGATGGTAGAAATTACCTTCTAGCTTTTCCGAGGAAAGTACGTAATAAGGTATACCAAAGATTCATGGCTACTGCCACTGGAATATCAGATAGCGCACAACAATCCGTGGCTGGTCAGAAACGAACAGCCAATGTAGAACAAGCTACTAGTTTACTAAGCAATTTGATAGGGGAGACGAGTGTAACACAGAGATGGGTGGTAAGTACAGGGTGCGTCATCTATTACTTTTTTTTCTATTTGAAAAATCAACACGCTTTTTTCGAGGTGAAATCGAATTTTTGTATTGATAAAAGAAGGTTCATGCCATTTATGTATGAAAAATAACATCAGTCATGTGTCCACCGCGGCTTCGTTTACAGGCCAACACTTGAACATCAAAATTTTCAATGACTTTTCCCAGAATAATCGGGTCTATGGCCGCAATTTCAGTCCGAATATTGCGCTTTAAGTATTGAATTGTCCGGGGACCATTCGCATACACTTTTCCTTTCAAAAATCCCCAAAGAAAATAGTCAAGAGGTGTTAAATCGCACGATCTCGGGGGTCAACTGACATCTGAATTTCGTGAAATTATGCGGTCTTGAAATTTCGTGTGCAATAAGGCGATTGTTTGGCGAGATGTGTGAGCCGTTGCTCCGTTTTGATGAAACCAAAGATCGTCGGCATCAATACGATCCAATTGTGGCCACAAAAAGTCTGTTAACATGCCGCGATAACGTTCCCCGTTGACGGTGATGACCTTTTCTTCGGCATCGTCAAAGAAGAAAGACCAACGATGCCACCAGCCCAGGATGGAGAGATTGTTCATGATATTGGTGTGGATTCTCAGCCCCCATATTCTGCAATTTTGCTTATTTACGTACCCATTGAGGTGAAAAGGAGCCTCATCAGAATAGAGCACTTTGGCCGAAAATCCGTCTTGACTTTCCAGCATCCAAATAACAAAAACACGCCGCTGTTGATGGTCTGCCGGCTTCAATTCTTGTGTTAGTTGGATTTTGTATGGATGGAGGTGTAAATCAATGGGTAAAATCCGGCGTAAAGTGGTCTCACTAATTCCCGATTGTTGCGAACGGTACCTAGTCGAGCTGGTTGGATCTTCTCGCACACTTTCACTCACTGCGGCTATTTATTTTTTCACGAGTACGAGCTGGACGAGCATATTGGTATGGTCTACGACCTTCAGCTGAACCAGTTTCCTCAAAACGATTAACAATCCAACGAATTCCAGGCTCTGTAGGGCGTCCATGTCGGCCAAAACTAGTGCGAAGTTTGCGAAAAGTATTTTTTATATTTCGACCGTTTTCGTAATAAGTTTGGATAACCAAAATGCGTTGTTTTGTTGTAAACGAATCCATGACTATAAATGGCATAGCTTTGACAGTTCATCTATGCATACCACATGACTTTTGACTCACATGGTAACACATAAACTTATAGGGTAAAAAAAAGTAATTGATGGCGCACCCAGTATATAAGCATAGATCTAAAATTACCATAATGTTTAAACTTTATGTTTAGCGAAAAATTGTACACCACTGATTTTTGCAAAAATAAGTAATGTTTTTTTTTAAGTCATATTGATTCTGTCTCTTGGAGTTTGTCATGTATGTTCATTAAAAAAAGTGCCATTTCGATTGCTATTTTTTTAATCGTAACTTTTTAGAAATACATTGTCCAAGATGGATAAGTTTCAAAGTGTTATAAAAATGTTTTTTTTTTTCATATCTTAACGTGTGCCCTTGAATAGTTTCAATGTTTTCTTTTTGTTGTTTACAGCGAGGAGAAATATCAAACTTCCAGTACCTCATGCATTTGAACACTTTGGCTGGAAGGTCATATAATGACCTCATGCAGTACCCAGTTTTCCCGTGGATTTTATCCGATTTCGATTCCGAAGAGTTAGATCTGACAGATCCTTCAACGTTTAGGGATTTCACAAAACCTATGGGAGCACAGAGTCCCGAAAGATTAGAGCAGTTCAGGAAGAGATTCAAGGTAAAGTTGAGGCTTCCCACTATCTCATTTATTCTCAACTTTCGATGAAAGGAAGTAATACACTTTACTATTCAAAGAAGTGTATTGAGTCATAGTAAATTTCAAAACCTTACAAACGAAACAACGTGGACGTGGACTGTCGAACTTCTTCCTCATTTATTACAGAAGAAAGCCAGCTGACGCCTCTTACAAGCATATGTTACTCAAATCGGACTCGCACTCCACACCGTGAACGACCAAAATTTAACAGTTTCGCTCGTTAAAGTGAATTCATTTTTTAGTTTTCATCATATTATGTATTTTTCACATCTATATTTTCTTTTCAGGAATGGGACGACCCTCATGGCGAAACACCGCCGTATCACTACGGAACCCATTATTCAAGTGCAATGATCGTTTGCTCATATCTAGTCAGATTAGAACCATTTACGCAACATTTTCTGAGACTGCAAGGCGGACATTTTGATCTTGCGGATCGTATGTTCCATTCTGTCAAAGAAGCGTGGTTGTCTGCTTCCAAACACAACATGGCAGATGTCAAAGAACTGATACCTGAATTCTTCTACCTCAGCGAGTTTTTGGTCAACGCGAATCAGTTTGATTTAGGTATGAAAAAATGCATCCCTGCCCAATGGCGAAAAAGCTTTATGGTTTTTGAAAATTATCATTGGTTTCCCCATACATTTGCTCTTAAAACTTAAAATGATTTTAAATACACGCAATCTATTTGATTTTTTTGTTATACATGTGCGTACCCAAATATTTTGTCAGAGGTGCTAACTTGATCTGAACATAATCGTGTATGCGTTGCGTGTAAAGTGCAGTCAACCTACTTGACGCCATTTTTTTCATCAGGTGTAAAACAGAATGGAGTCGGCTTGGGAGACGTAGTACTTCCTCCTTGGGCTAAACAGGACCCCAGAGAATTCATACGGGTTCACAGGATGGCATTGGAATGTGACTATGTTTCACAAAATCTTCACCATTGGATCGATTTGATATTCGGTTACAAACAGCAAGGTCAACCTGCTGTCGATGCTGTTAATGTTTTCCATCACCTGTTCTACGAAGGCAATGTGGATATTTACAAGTAAGTTATTAAACAAACAGTTTTTGAGAACGCAACATAAGGTACGTTTCCATTAGAACAAAGTACAGGGTGCGGCAGAGAGGATGGACGGTTTTAAAAAAATCATAAAATAGTTAATTTTTACTCGAAAACAAATTTATTGATGGAATCAGGTTCACAAGGAAATAGCATTTGAGACAGTCAAGTGTGGAAAATCACATCAGGCATGTGGTGGCCAAAATCGTTGATGCAGTGCTGGAGGCGTTCTTGGAAGTTCGCTAGACTCTCTCCAACATCGCTCTCTCAACTTAGGCTACTTCCACGCAAATTTCGCCCTTCAATTCGTCCAGAGTTCGGGGCTTGTTCGCGTATACTCTAGCCTTGAGGTGTCCCAATAAGAAAAAATCGCATATGGATAAATCTGGGGACCGAGGAGGCCAATGAACATCGCCAAACCTGGCAATAAGGCGACCAGGGAAGAGAAGGCGAATAACGTCCATGGATGCTCGGGCTGTGTGGGCGGTGGCACCATCCTGCTGGAACCACACACGTTGGATTGGAACACGTCGCCGTCGCAATTCAGGGAGAAAGAAGTTGGTGATCATGTCGACGTAGCGCTCTGAGTTCACGGTAACATCACGACCATTACCAGGGCCAATGATGCAAGTTTGCGATACAGCGCACCAAACCTTTACTTTTGGGCTGTGCAGCGGTCTTTCGTGTAACTGTTGCGGATTTTCATTAGCCCAATAACGACAATTCTGCTGGTTAACCATGCTGTTTAGGTGAAAGTGGGCCTCGTCACTCATAAACAAAATGAGGTTCTCATTTTGATAGATCAGTGCTTCCATCTCACGTGCGAAGTTCATTCGTTGCGCATAATCTCCGGGCTGTAACTGTTGCACAATGGCCAATTTGTAGGGGTGAAAGCGGAGATTCAGATGCAAAATTCGCCTTACCGAACGATCACTAAGGCGAAGTGCAGCAGCATGTTTCCGGGCAGATCGAGTCGGACTGCGAAGAAAGACCTGTCGAACGCGTTCAACATTTTCATGAGTTCGAACTGTTCGCGGCGCTCCTCTTGGTCTTCTCTGCCGCACCCTGTATAATGTCTGCTATTTGTTTCACCGTTGAAAAATCCTCGTAATAATAGGTGTATAAGATATACGCAAGATGCACATTGCCTCTATCTAAACTTTATATACTAATTTGCTTTGCAGTATTGACGATCCATTGAAGAAGAACGCCACAATAGGCTTCATCAATAACTTTGGGCAGATTCCAAAACAACTGTTCAAAAAACCTCACCCTTGCAAAAAGATGGGCGGGAATAACAGAAGTTCTGTGATAGATACTGGTTCATTGGTACAAGCGTTCACTTTTCCACAACCAGAAAAGTTATTTTTCCATTATCTGGATAATCTGAGGCCTTCTCTTCAACCAATCAAGGGTAAGAAATTTGAAAAATTCATCAACAACCTTGCTTCTATTCTTCAATAGCAGGTACTAGTTTTGATACATATAGCGACTTGCCATATATTCTAATGTAAGAACACTATGACTTTCCTACAAATGTGTTTCGTTTTCAGAGGTGAAATGTCCCGTCGGTCAGATCCTTCATGTTGACAAATCAGTATTAGCGGTGGAACAAAACAAAGTTCTGATGCCGCCATCTTTTAATAAATATGTGGCGTGGGGTTTCGCTGATCATTCCTTGAGGATAGGAAATTATGAAAGCGATAAAGCCATATTTGTGTCTGAGAATGTGGAACAGAACAACGGGGAGATCCTAGCTTGCGTCTGCCCTTCGCCCAAGTTGATTGTAACCGCTGGTACAAGTACTGTAAGTATCACAATTTTATAAGTACTTATTCTTAACCAAATAGAAAGTATATTCTCACAGAAGCAGGATGTATCATAAATGAATAAAGACAAAATAAATATAGTTTGCTTCCCATTAGTTTATGCCTGATCGTGCCTTGAAAATACAGCAGACGCTCGATAACCTAAACACGGGATAATGAAAACTTGCGCTAATGTAAACACAAACTTCGTTCTATAGGATCAAACGGAACGCGCGATAACGTAAACAATGTGTACGCTCGATAACGTAAACAACTCTCGGCGCACGGAAACAGCGCGACGGTAAAATGGTGAAGCCTCGATGATTTATGTCGGGCGTCGGGGAGTCCCCGATTTATGATGTAGAGTGTAGGGGATTTACCTCTGCGATAAAATACGACAAACTCGGTCAGTCGTATGATCGTTTAGGATACGTTTATACGTACGTATGTATTTCATTTTTGAACTTAAGTGAATACATTGCACGAGTTAATATATTTTACGACTATGGCATCCACATCCTATAAAAGAAAGTGTTTAAAGTTGAGTGAGAAAGTTTAAAATCATAGACGAAGTTGCACTAGGTGCGGGAGTGACACAGTTAGCAAAAAAATATGGAGTATCGAAAGCAACAATCTGTAAAATTAAGCGTATGAAAACTCAAATTTTACAAAGAACGTGCAATACATTTGGAGGTCCGGGAAAAAGAAAAACTTTAAAAAATGCGAAGGCACCTAAAATGGAAAATTCTCTGTATAAGTGGTTTTTAAAACAACGGGAAAATCATGTCCCAGTTAGTGGCGAAGTACTTAAACAGAGAGCGAGACTGTTAAATGAAAAACTGAAAGAAACTGAAAATTTCGTAGCTAGTGATGGCTGGCTACAACGATTCAAAACAAGATATGGAATTCGACTGCTGTCTTATATCTGGTGAAAAATTATCAGCACAACCACAATTAGTGCAACCATTCAAAGAAAAATTGATGAAAACAATTACCGAGCTAGATTTAAGAATGGAACAAATTTACAACGCAGATGGAAGTGGCCTTTATTGGAAAATGTTACCAGAGAAAACCTATGCTGCATCATTTGAAAAATCTGTCCCGGGAAGAAAGCCGGAGAAACAACGAATAACGTTTCTAGCTTGCTCTAATGCTAATGGTTCACACAAAATAAAGCCACTGGTAATTGGGAAAGCAAAAAATCCGCGCTCATTTAAAAATGTTAATATCCCTGTTGATTATGACTGTTCAAAGACCGCTTGGATGACTAGCAGTATATTCCTGAAATGGTTCCACAGGTGCTTTGTCCCTCAGGTATACAATCAATTATCACAAATGCTCTATTCATAATTTGAAGATGTGTTTTCAATTTGTAGGTAAAAGGTTTCCTAAAACAACAGAAGCTTCCAATAAAAGCGTTGTTACTATTGGATAATGCACCAAGTTATCCTCCCGAGCAACAACTAAGGAGCAGGGATGGGTCAATTTTCGTCATGTACATGCCGCCCAACGTAACACCGTTAATTCAACCGATAGACCAGAATATAATTAGACTCACCAAACTATACTATAGGAAGTTTCTACTTTCGTCTGTCTTATCAAAGAATCCTGAAAACTTATCTGAGGCTTTAAAAAAAGTAACATTACGAGAAGCTGTTTTAGATTTACATATGGCCTGGAATGAACTTAACCAGCAAACTATTCAAAAATGTTGAAACAATCTCTTTTGTACCAATAATGAAGACGATGTCCCCTAAAGAACGTTTGCGATCCAATAATGATAATGTTATTAGCGTGTCATTGGATGTTGTTGATTTATTGAAAACAGTGGATCCCAACATTGTTTGTACTCCTGCTGATATTAATTCATGGAACGAAGATAAGCAGACGAATGATGCTGATAAGGAGGAGAATATGGACAGTGAGGATGATGAGAACGATCCCATCGAAGTCAGAAGTGTAGTGACTGACGCGCAAGCTATACAAGTTTTTAACCAAGCTTTAGATTGGGCTGAAAAAAAGAAGTTTCATACACGGATATTTTAGTTCTTCGTAAATTACGGGCGCAGGCATTGGAAGACAATGCTAAGCGCAAATTTACGCAGACAAAAATTGTTAATTATTTTTCTTCTAATTAAAAAAATACTTATCGCTGTTAGAATATTTGTTTATTTTGTTATAAATAGTATGTGTTAAACGTTTCTTTTAATAAATCAAATATATAAATTACGTTCTCTAATGTAAACATTTCCATAATGTGAACCACACTTGGATTAAATTAGTATACATTATCGAGCGTCTGCTGTATTATGTATTTACAATTTAAAAATCAGGTGAAGAGTAAACCATTTTGACGCCATTTTTCACATTGGCCTTTCGTTCTGAAGTTACCGTATCTGTCCTTTCTTCTATTTAATATTTCCAATAGTTCCACGTGTATTTTTGTATCTGTGATTGTTTATAGGTGGTGACTGTTTGGGAGTACGAAGCAAGGAAGAAACAGCTAAGCATAAAACACAGCCTGTATGCTCACACCGATGCTGTCACATGCCTGGCAACAAGCCCTGCATACAACGTCATAGTATCTGGATCCAGGGACTGCACCGCCATTATATGGGATCTTTCTAGAGGCATGTTCGTCAGGCAGTTACGAGGCCATGCTGGACCCGTGGCGGCAGTAGCTGTCAATGATCTAACAGGTATTTCTTTTCATTGTTGAAAGCTTATTAAACATTCTGTTTAGGTCAAAATATATTTCAGCTTATTGGCCGTGTACAGTGAACGAAGATACAACTGTAAAATGCCAAAATAAAACTGACAATGAATAACGCTTTCTTTACCGCGACTAGTCAAATAACCCATACGTGAACATTTGTCAACACGTTGTCACTTAAGTCAATGTCACTTGCATTTATATATATATATATATATATATATATATATATATATATATATATATATATATATATATATATATATATATATAACTTGAGACGTGGTCATTGTCGTTTGGACCAGTTAGGTGAAAAATTAAAGACATTGACAACCTTCGGCCTTCTGTTCATCTCACTCATTATTCCATGACCACCATTTTGTGCAATCATCAAGTGGCTTCACGACGTAATGCTCTAATGTTTTTTGATTAATTTTTAATCTGTTTTTAACTTGTCTTGTCATATTTTATATAATTTTGAACATTGTACCATGTATCCAGCTCTCACCATGTTACTGGACGTTTCCCTCATCCTATACGTAAACAACAATTAGCAACATCCTCACATACTACTGTAAGTTGAGTCAATTTAAATTCATTTTACACTTTTGTTGCTACTGTTATCATTGTAATTGCAGCTCCTGATGATGATGGCAAAGTCCATTGAAAGCTAGAGAGAATTAAAAAAAAGTATAAGTCCTCTTTGCTTAAATTTTGTCGAAGTACCCAACAAAAGGCGGAAGCTTTAATTTTTCACCTATATATATATATATATATATATATATATATATACAGAGTGACTTGTAATGTCACGTATTCCTGTTAAGGGGTGATAGATTAGGTCAAAAGCAACCGATTTTGTCCTATAATGTCCTATCCAGAAGTTAATCGTTTTTGAGTTATTTGAATTTTATTTTTTTTATTTTTTATTCCGATTTCAGACGGTTAAATTTGAAATACAAGTTTGATTTGAGTTTTTTATTATCGTCGCATAGCGGGCATTCCAATAGTTCATAATAAGTAATAAAATGTTGAAAACTTACAAAAGTTTTAAAATCACGCTTTTGAATTGTATGATTTTCTTATTTTTTTACTAACTTATTCGATAAAAAATGCAATTTTCTGTAAAAAATCTCCTAGTGATGAAATGTGCAAATTATGTAAATAATATCTCTATCTAACAAGCTTTCATTTGAGGTATAAAAGTTACAACTAACTCAAGTACAAAGACATAAAATTAAAAAGAGATGAGTAAAGTTGTACGAACGATAATTACGTAGGATAAATAAAAGGCTTTTATTTTAGTTACAGTTTTATTTAATTACATTTCCTTTAGTATTTTACAGATTCTGCTCAAATTGTAATCCCCTGTTACGAATACACGCCCGCATTCTCTTACGTAGTTCACTTTTGGTAACTCGAGTTGATAAGCGGCTTTTTATTTGGTCAGCTGCCCTGATTATCCTTGTAAATAATTCATCGCGCGTTGGCACGGGCGAAACATCGTACACCAGGCTTTTCATATGTCCCCACACATAGTAATCCATCGGTGTGAGATCTGGGCTTCTTGCTGGCCAGGCAATGGGCCCGCCTCTGCCAATCCATTGGTTTGGAAATTTAGAGTCTAAATACGCCCGTACTAATCTACTGTAGTGTGCGGGACAGCCGTCGTGCTGGAACCGCATATTTTGTCTCGTCGCCAATGTGACGTCTTCCATTAATGGAACGAAGTGATTTTTCAAGAACTCTTCATACACTTCTCCATTTAAATTGGCGGGCAGAAAATGAGGTACAATTAAATATCCATCAATGATGCCCATCCACACATTGACTGAAAACCGGCTCTGAGACCCCGTCGGTCTTATTTTTCGGGGGTTTAAAGCTTCTTTATCAGCCCAGTAATGAGCATTATGGTAGTTAGTGATCCCGTCCTTATCAAACTTCGATTCATCGGTCCACAGAATTTTCTTAAAATAGTCTGGATCTGCATGTAACATGTATCTGCAGAAATCAAATCGTCTTGCAGGATCGCCCTCTTCAATCACATGCACAGGCGTGTAGTGATAAGGGTATAATTTTGCAGTATGCACAGTAAACCATACTTTGTATTGTGATATACCCAACTGAGCAGCCACACTGCGCGTAGACGTAGTAGGGTCTTCCTGAAACACACGAAGGATTTCCTCTTCATCTTCAGGAGGATAGACTCGGGGTCGACCAGCATCACTATGTTGCCTTTGAACACGTCCGGTTTTTCGGATGCGCCGATACACAGAGTCAAACACAGTAACATGAGGTGTTCGGCAATTCGGGAAACGTTGCCGATATTCACGGCGGGCAGCTGCAGAATCGCCGTTACAAAGTCCATAACAGAACATTATGTCTGTGTATTCTTCATTTGTAAAAGTTTGCCCGTGCTCGCTATGGCGAGGTCCTGGCGGATCTTCTGCGTCTGCCATGATGATAAAGAAACCACTCGAAATGAACTGCGAAACTCGAAAATAATAATCGTGCGTAAAACGTGTGCGCGTACGCAGTAGTTGATACCAACTAAACCTAATTCTCACTCGGCGTACGGCGATGGCGTAACTACAATGATGAATAATAACAGCTCTTCTCGCTCGCTTCCTCGTCGAGCCGATGCCATAAAACAATCATGGCATGCGAGTCCTTTGAGGACAGTAACGACTTGTTCAAACAGGTAATACAAATTCCTTAAAAATCCAGCCTCTGTGGGTGTCATTGTTGTTTCTTTGCATGTACTTCAGATAATTGAACGCTTAATGCCTCAAATGAAAGCTTGTTAGATAGAGATATTATTTACATAATTTGCACATTTCATTACTAGGAGATTTTTTACAGAAAATTGCATTTTTTATCGAATAAGTTAGTAAAAAAAGGAAAATGATACATTTAAAAAGCGTAATTTTAAAACGTTTGTAGCTTTTCAACATTTTATTACTTATTATGAACTATTGGAATGTCTGCTATGCGACGATAACAAAAAACTCAAAATCAAGCATGCAGTTTTTTTGTATTTCAATTTTAAACGTCTGAAATCGGAATAAAAAATAAAAAACTTAAAATTCAAACAACTCAAAAATGGTTAACTTTTGGATAAGACATGATAGGACAAAATCGGTTGTTTTGACCTAATCTATGACCCCTTAACAGGAATACGTGACATTACAAGTCACCCTGTATATAAGGCAAGGTATTGCAAAAGTACACTCTTATAACTTAAATTGAAGCTTTCGAAGTTCTACGTCCATCGTCTGGAGCTCTAAACAATGATTGACAATACCAACAATTAACAATTAGGAGGAAAAATAGTTACTTACGAAGTCGACAAATAAAAAACTAGACCGATGAGGTTCGATTAGGACGGAATTATTTTAATTTTATTATAACACTTAAGGCAATTAACTATTTTTACTATATATATATATATATATATATATATATATATATATATATATATATAGACGAGTTATGCTAGCGATCCAAGCAGCTATAGCTGCGGGCCCGTAACAATTTTTCAAAGACATTTTTCTAATATTCTGTATTTTAGGCGATATAGCAACATGCGCAGCGACATGGTTACATGTATGGAGCATAAATGGAGACGAGCTAGCTAATGTAAACACATGCGTGGGTAGAACTGACAGAATCCAGCAAATCCTTTGTGTGGCGTTCTCCCAAACTCATGAATGGGATAGCCTGAATGTAATAATGACCGGATCGACTGATGGAGTGACTAGGGTGAGACATCAAACATTTTAAAACTTGATACGGATTTCGGACAGCATCTTCTGAACATAATCGAGCATGGATAATGTAGTCGGGGCGGCAGCACCCCAGACATGTGAGCAGTACTCGAGGCTAGATCTGTTCTGGCCTCATAACATACTTAATAGTCTCATTTCAGGAAGTTTAAGTGATGAATATTTTTTGGTTTTATTATAGATGTGGTCGATAGACTACGTGCAGGTTCCTGATGGAAACAGTACGGTCAAGAAACAGTCAGCAGAATTGAAGTCTCCAAAATCTCCAAAACCGAATAACGAAGTGAAACAGCTTCCTTCTATACACCACAAGCTTGTGAAGCAAATACACATTTCTTCGGAAGATGGCGGCAACATTATAAAATCTGGTTCTGAAAGCAGTCTGTCTGAAGACAAGTCATTAGAACGGTATGTTTAACATGTTCAAGGTTGTAAAAATGAACAATTCGGAGTATGATCCAATATTTCCTTTTTTGGGTTGACATTAGGTTGTAAAGTAGATGGCCTTTGCTGTACTTGATCTCCATTTTAATGACCATACCAAAGCAACTCAGTTACGGGACAAACTATTGAATTTTGTAGGTATGGAGAAGGCAGCTGTAAGGAATGGCAGAATGAAAAACAGGAAGAAAAAGAAACTTGTAGTGATACTGAGGAATGTGCGCCACCTGTAGCACCAGCGCGACGAAGGAGATCTAGAATACACCCGAACTTTAGGAAAAGTGAAGGTAAGGGTCAAATATTCACTTAATTAAGTAGTACGCAGTTTCGAGAAGTTATTATTGATCTACACTACCGTTCAAAAGTATTTGAATACCCTGGAAACTGGTGGAAGTTATTAAAAAAAAACATTACAATGTCTGTATGAAACATTTATTTTCTTAATTCTTAACAACCTACAACTATTTATAATCAAAATAATCATCAATATGTCCTCTTTACGTTTAATTACAGCCTGGCAAATGATGGGTAAACGCGCAACTAATTTTTCTAAAGTGGATGGTGTTATTTTTCGCCACTCTTTTTGTAATATTCTCTATAAGTGTTCTTGAGATGTAGGACAACATTTCCGTACTTGTCTGCAATTCTATCGGATTCAAATCCGGGGATTGGCGAGGCTATTGCACTACTTTCAAAATAAGTTGTTGTTCTTTTGCTTCCAAAAATTTTTTTACAGAGCTTGGATGTGTGTTTGGGGTCATTATCATGCTGAAAGCCAAACCCCGGACCAGTAAGACGAATCTCGGAAGGCACAACATGATTTTGTAGTATGGCTTTGTAACCTTCTTTATTCGGTATTCGCTGTAATCTCACAATGTCCCCCAGAGCGGAACCACCAAAACAGCTCCAAATCATTATAGAGCGGACAAATACTCTTGGAACCAAAAACTTCAAATTTCGATTCATCATGCAATGTCTTTCAGGAACCAGCGGTGATAGTACAAGCTTAGAAGTAGTAGACGATGGATCGGGACTCAGAACCAGTAAATCTGATACAAGTCTTACCGATTCATTCATTATGGTACCTGAGCCTAAGAAAAAGCCAATCAATCCACTGAACTCTCTTCGGCCAGGTAATGTTCTTCAAACCCTTTAGCCTCGTTTAATCTATTACTCAAATGAAAACTGCAACCTTGCCCCGATTTTTCCTCGCCGTTAACGTATCAGTGGAAACAAGCAGTAAATGTAGTTGTAAGCGATTATAACATGCGTATTTAAATTTCTAGGTTTTAAGTGGCAGAGGCAGTTAGTGTTCCGCAGCAAACTGACAATGCACACAGCTTATGACAGGAAAGACAATGCTGAACCTGCATTTGTAACAGCCATTGCAGTTTCAAAGTAAGTGGTACTGCTTAACGATTTTTTTGCTCTCATTTATTTGATTATATGGGGTTGTCCAAAATAGACGCAGGAAAGTAAACGCATATTAAAACAAGAACGATTGATATTCATTTATACCATTTATGTATGAAAAATAATATCGCTCAAATGTTCACCACGACTGGATTTACAGACGTCCACGCGGTGGTCGAAATTTTCAATGACATTTTGCAACATGGTCGGTTCTATAGCATTTATCTCTGCAATGATGTTGTTTTTGAGTTCTTGGAGGGTGGCTGGTTTGTTGACGTAGACTTTGCTTTTCAAATATCCCCATAAAAAGAAGTTCAAGGGAGTCAAATCGCACGATTTTGGTGGCCATGCCACATTTCCTCTGCGCGAAATCACGCGATTACCGAAGAAGGACTGCAATCGATGGATATTGACGTTGGTTATGTGGTATGTTGCACCGTCTTGTTGGAAATAAACATCGTCCATATCCATTCCTTCAAGTTGCGGCAAAAAATAGTCCTCTATCATCACGTGATATCGCTCAGAATTGACGGTAATGGCGTCCCCGGCCGCATTTTCGAAAAAGTAAGATCCGATGATGCCTTTTGACCACAATGCACACCACACAGTCACTTTTTGAGGATGCATCGGCTGCTCTTGATACTCACGGGGATTTTCGTTCGCCCAGATGCGGCAGTTTTGCTTGTTTACCGTCCCATTCAAAGTGAAATGCGCTTCGTCGCTGAACATGATTTTTGATGAAAAATTGGCATCAATTTGGCGGTGTTCAAGGAGCCAATCTGAGAACGTTCGGCGCGAATAATGGTCGGCCCGACGCAGCTTTAGCGTCAATTGGATCTTGTAGGCGTGTACATTCAAATCCTTGTGGAGAATGCGGAGCAAACTGGTTCTCGAAATGCCCAATTCTTAGGATCGACGCGTTGTTGATTGTTTCGGATCGTCTCTCACACTCTCCTTCACAACAGCAATATTTTCCGGTGTGCGAACGCTCCTTGGCCGGCCAGAGCCTGGCAGATTTGCCACAGAACCTGTTGCCTCGAATTTACGCACCAGACGACCGATGGTTGTTTCGTTTGGGCGGTTGTTGCGACCGAAATGTTCACGAAGCGCGCGAAACGTGTTTTTTATTTTTGCACCATTTTTGTAGTGCTCTTGAATAACTTTAATGCGGTCTTCAATCGAATACGACTCCATAGCGATCAATGGTATACATTCAACTAACAAAATGACATGTCGGTGACAGAAAACAAGAATGGCGTCTATGTCAAATTGACGTTTACTTGCCTGCGTCCCTATTGGACAACCCTTTAGATACGCATGATTTTTTGTATTCTCTGTCGATTATTCACGTTAATATAATACAGTGAACACATATTTAATTCATGATGTTTTTTTGTTAAATACTGAAAACTGCATCGACAATGACGTTGATTTTAAACGCCTTATGTTTTGGCGCGCTTTGCTGTGACTTCATAACCCACGATTTGTCATTTGATTATATGTTTGATTGACCAATTATAAAAAATCCTTTCCACCACTTAATTGGCCTCGTATGGATTTATATCAACTGTTCTACGAGATTTGTCCGGAAAATACGTATAAAAGTGGAATAATACCTTTATGTATTTTACAATTTTTCAAGTATTTCAATATGGTCTCCTTCAAAGTACTTCTGCTAATGCGGTTTCCACTGTTGATACGATCGCTTAAAGTCTTCAATTGTGAGGCTTCATTTGCCTTGTCGTTTCTGCCTTGATGTTTTCCACATCCCCCAAGTGCCGCCCCCGAAACACCATTTTGCATTTTGGGAACAGGAAGAAGTCGCAAAGGGGCTGAATCGGTTAAATGAGGCGGGTGTTTTGTCACGGTGATTGATTGAGCTTCGGGCCAAAAACTCACGCACAACGAGAGACGTGTGAGCAGGCGCGTTGTCGTGATGAAGAATCCACCTGTCCCATTCTGGCAAATTCGGTCGAACTCGGGCCACACGAGCTCTGAGAACACGTAAAACTTCAATGTAGAAATGTCCGTTTAGTGTCTGGCCGGGAAGCACAAATTCTAGGTCATTGTTCACCCCGAGAATCAAAGAAAACAATCAACATTGTCTTCACATTGGACTTTGACTTTTTTGTTTTCGGTTTCCCTGGTTGCTTCCATTCCGTGCTGTGAGATTTCGGCTCCACATCGAATTCGTAGAACCAAGACTCGTCTCCAGAGATGACCCGGTCGAGAAAGTCCCCCCTTTCCTCTGCTTCCGACCAATCCTGACAGCAAGCAACCCTCCTAGCTTTCTGTTCTGGAGTCAAGAGCTTCGCAGAATTTCGTGGACGATTCTTTTAGGGATTGACAGTTCCTCAGTTATCATTCTAGCTGTCATTCGACGGACTCTAAGAACACAGCCCCGAATTCGTACAACATTTCCCGCAGAGCTCGATGTGGAAGGTCGTCCTGAGCCTTTCACATCTTCCCAAAACCTTTCAACCACTTGCTGACGGTTGGTTCCTTCAGAGAATTGGTTCCGTAAACTTGTTCCAAACACTCAAAAATCTCACGACCATTCTTGCCTAAATTTGCAAGAAAAAGGGTAACTTTCAACAAGCACACATAAATCCTTCTTACTCGCATAACGCTTCGGCTCGAACGGAGCATAGAGGGGATTGCATAGAGAGAGGGAACCACGGAACCACCCCTTCACAACGCCTTGACACGACGCCCCGAATCTTTTATACGTATTTTCCGGTCACACCTCGTTTAGTCAAAATTTGCTTATAATTCTTAGTTTTGTCTAAAAACTAACTAACTTTATTTACAGCATACTGTATATGATTATGCCAGCGTAGGTCTATCATAATTCCTAAATATACTAAGTGACATATAAATCCGAACACCCAGTTTAAATGGTTTTATTTTAATAAAATTTTGTATAAGTACATAATGAAGCATAATAAGTAAATGATAAAAATTTCAAAATTATTGCACTGCTTTAAAGCCCTTTGACCTTTAATAATGTGTGGATGCACTCTGATGTGCTACGCATTCTCCAACGCGCCTAGGCATGCTTCTGATCAGGTGGTCAATGTCCTCCTGTGGTATCTCATTCCAGGCAACCACCAACTCCTCTCGAAGTGCTTCTAGAGTCTGAGGAGGACGTTGCAAATTGAGCAATCTCCTACCCATCATATCCCACACGTGCTCAATTGGGGATAAGTCGGGAGATCTTGGTGGCCATGGTAACAATGTGACATCATTATGTTGAAAGAAGTCTATTGTGACTCTTGCAACATGTGGTCAGGCATTATCTTGTTGGAAAGTTGGATCTGCCAGGGCGTCAAGATAGGGTAAAAGATGGGGTTCTAGAACTTCGTGGATATAACGCTGCGCGTTCATGTTACCTCTGATGAAGATTAAAGGTGACCTGGAACCATAAGCTATAGCACCCCAAACCATAACTCCAACAGTGTGATGAACATGTCTTTCAACAAAAAACTGTGGATTCCTCCTTTCACCACGTCGCCTTCTAACCCTGGCACGACCATCGTGCATGCCTAAACAAAATCGAGACTCGTCACTAAAGACAATGTTCCATTCCTGATCCCAGAGTGACCGTTGTCTGCACCACTCAAGGCGATTACGTCGGTGTTCTCGAGTTAAAGGGAGGACCCAGTGTGGCCCGTATGAAAACAAGCCAAAACTTCTCATTCGTCGGTAAACACTTCGCATGCCAATAGGTCTTCCGTGTTCTGCAAACCATTCATTTGCAATGGACCTGGTAGTGGAGAAACGGTCCCTTAAGGCCAATAATCTTAGGCGGCGATCTTCACGGTCTGTTGTTCTACGGCGGCGTCCAGTGCCCCTTGCTCTTTGCGTACGGCCTTCTCGAAGCCATGCCTGACAACACCTAACCACAGTTTCTACACTTCTTTGCACTCTAACTGCAATTGCCCGAAAAGAAAGTCCAGCTTCCCGAAGTCCCACTATACGGCACCTATCAAACTCACTAAGTTGACGAAATCATACAGGTCTCCGTACTCTAGGCATCGTAACCGATCGTAAAGGATGTCAAGAACCAAAATCCGCCAACGTTGATTCTTTACTGCGGCTGAAATATTCATTTTTAGAGCGTTAGTGAATTAAAAAAAAGCAGTATAAAAACCGGAATGTCCAACTGATAAGGCTGAAAATTTGTTCACTTGTTATTTACAGTAAGATAAATACATTCACCAACTTTTATTAAAATAAAACACTGTTTTTCCTCATAATATTTTTATTTGTACTGCCGATTTTTTAAATCTTCTAACGCCCTGGACTATCTCAGGGACCACCGAAGCGTCTACGTGGGCGACTCTCGCGGTCGAATCTTCTCGTGGAGCGTTTGCGACGCGCCAGGCCGCGCCGCCGACCATTGGCTGAAGGACGAAGGTGCGGACGCATGCGCGAACTGCTCCGTTCGCTTCACCATATACGAACGGAAGCACCACTGTCGCAACTGCGGCCTGCTCTTCTGTTCGAAATGCTCCAGGTTCGAGAGCGAGATCTCCAGGCTGCGTATACTCAAGCCGGTCAGGGTTTGTCAGGGGTGTTACACGATGCTTAAGGGTGAGAAAACGTAAGACTGATTTGGGGTCCGGATATGAGAGTATCACTAGCTGAAATCGGTTAGAGTAGTACTGTGATGAATGAATAAAACGCTACAACCAGTATTTTTTCCTCAGAGGAAGTGTCAGTACAATGATTCTTCAAAGAAGTATTGACCTACCTCTTCTCCTCAGCTATATTTTCATGTGATTACCAAAAAGCATATTCGAAAAACAATTGCTAATTTTCATTAAACTTGTCGTGAAAAAAATGTGCGACGATAAGTTTGTTTGATGGATTTTCCAACATAAAAACATAGATTTTCCTAAAAAAGACTACAACCTGCAAATACAGCAGTCATTTTCAGGACTTTCCAATTCTTTTACTTACTAGACAATACTGTTTGCTATGTCTGCCCGGACTGTAGATTTGGTCAACATTTAAAAGAGTACTAAGCAGCTTCTGGTAGCAACTAAGTTTTTGAAAAGTTTGACTGTTGATTGAAACTATTACATTGTTGATGTGTGACCAAAAGAATGTTGAACATTTTTGTGAAAAACATGTATTACTGTTTTTTTTTATATTAAAGGTGGTCGTAGCCTTAAACATTGCTTCAACCTGTAGTCTCTTAGAAAAAAAAACATGAACTACAACTGTGGTAGAGAGAAATCGTAGTTCCTAACCTGTACATAAAAACTACACCTAGACAAATATATTAGAAATTCTACCGAAATAACTGCATCAGATACCTAACATGGTTGTGCTATTGTGCAATGAAAAATTTGTAAAAAACTTTCCCGACTGCAACGACAATTCAATGTGAGGTGTCGGAATGGCGCAGTCAATTAAATAGTGTGATTCACTAACAAAAAATATCAAGGATTAGTCTAATACATCAGTTGAGAAAACATATATTCTGTATTAGCCACACACTAGACTAAATTTGCTGAAAATATTGTGCTATTCATTGTCTAATTTTATGAATGTGTGCATGTTAAATCATGCTAGATGGGCGAAGGTTTAGCGATTGAAGCTAAGTTGACAAAGATTCTTTTGATAAGGTGTATAATACCCAATAAAATAATTTATAGCATTGTAATGAAAATATATGCCAAAGTTATTATATATAATTAATCTGATGATTAATGTTCAAATCCTTTATATACGAGTAGATGAGTTAGCTGTGCATTTCTTCATAATAATCGTTGATTAACAAATTCTACCTGAATACATCCAACCTAATGTTATATTCGCGCATCCAAAAAAATATTGGAGATAAAATGGGATACCGTAGCGTAATCTATGAGAATTTGTTACAGATATCTTTTTGTTTACCATACAGGGTGTTCCAGAAGTGTACGTCAAGACAGCGCGGGTATTATGTATCTTGAATAGTGACATTTTGTCGTTTTTTTGACATTTCGTAGTTTTTTCGTGACATAACGTAGGTTTGTCTACAAGATTTTAACTTAGCACAAGCTCTTGTTACACTTGTAAACTCGTTTGGTAGCTGGACGTGTTGCTTTTACATTTAAACAGTGCCTTCTATGAGACACTAATCTTACCAAAGTATATACAATATAAATATGTATATATATATGGTAATTCATTATATTTGGGATAATTTTTTGGACTCGCGACTATAGCATTAGATGGGTGCTTTCAGGAAGAAAATGTTAACAAATGTCCCAATTCTATAGGAAAATCATCTTTCAAAACACCACAAATTCGCACATGCGCTTGTGATTAAAAAATATATTATGCTCATAAGTATATGTGCAATGAAAATGATATATCTATACACCGATTTCACCCCAAATCAGTCTCTTACAGATATCTTCATTGAGACTCGGTAGCATTGTCGGTTAGTTTAAATGTTATGTGCAATATAGAATTGCAAACATTCTTTTTAAGCTGTGATTGTATGAAGTATCCAGAAAATATCATTAGGTGGATCAAGTTTGTTATAAGTATTGGTATTCAAGTGAATGAATTTAATTTAGCCAGATCCAGTGCAAATAGGAAGTTATGGAGATGTAAGGATTTAAGAACAACAAAATAAAGACGATCATTGAAACCGTCAATCATACAGCATTTGAATATATTTCTCAAAGAATCTATAAATCAATCGTTGCTTTAGTGGAAATATAACTATGACTCCTGCCTTACCCACTGTTATTCTACATATATTCACGTTAATAGCGGTTATATATAAGGTCAAATAACGTTTCGGATATAGCTGTGGCTGGTCATAACAATTTAGATTTAATAATTTAAAAAGCTCTCATATAGAGAAAAAATTACATAATCGAGTATCATTAACTAAAACATTTAAAAAAACAAGTTCGTCAAGTCGAAAAATTTGATTTCACTATCATTGATTCTGTAGACTTTGATTTGATTTTTTTTTCATTTCTGCATCCACGACGTACTGTGGAAGTCGGGCGTTATATTGTCATCAGTACCAATATCTTATTAACAAATTATATTATAAGAAAATGTACAATATCGTTTTATTGAATATTTTTATCGCTATTTGTTTTAATTCGCTCGGAAACTTGTGTTTCTTTATTGTTGCAAATTTAAAAAGACATACTGGTAATTGTTCTTTAGATTTGGGAAAACACTAAGCAGAATTTCTATCCGATGCGAGATATTCAGAAATATATCCTGTAATCCTACAAAGTCATTATGACTAACAGTTCAGTTTTCTGTGGTTCCCCTACACTTTCGTTACCAATAACTAAAGCTTTATCAGTATACGCCAATTTTAATTTAAATTTATTAAGCCGGTCATTGGAGATTTTTCCTTGCAATTAATTTTTATATTTAAACCTCATTTGCTATTTAAATCACTATGAGGAATTGCCATTGGAAAATATTGTATCTCTAATTATCGCCTCAAAAGATTTTTTCAATAAACAGGGTTGGTTCTCATTGTATTAGGGACACATAGCCATTCATACAACGCAAAAGTCTTCAATTGTTATCGTATTATACATACAAAAATTTCTTTAGATTCTGTCAGTACTCATGTGTGAATAGATGTTTGAATAATCAAGATCTTATCTGTTTTGGTTGGGCTGTAGGTTGCTGGAAAGTAATGTATATATTTTTAGATAGAGCGCTGATAGGAGAGGTTTTTGCATGATGTATTCTGAATTACATATATTTCTTAGATTAAAGTACCATTAAAATTCGCCAATATAGTGAATAGTATGGAAGCAAAATTCATTATGATTAATAATAGTCCTGATAGCAGTGGAACATATGTCTCTAATGTAAAATTGTTACCAACCCTGTACATAGTCTCAATTTTTATTATATTTATTTATTTATTATTCAACTTTACAACCTTTAATTTTAACAGAGCTGTATATCTATTAAATTATAGCTAATTGTTCGTTTGACATATATATCTAAAGAAAAATATGTGTAGATTTTAATGTAAAATATGTAAGACTAGGGCTGAAAAAGCTTACATTTTGTTGCTGTTGCTATTTTTGCATTGTTGAATTATTGTGATTTGTGATTTATTTTAGACTTATTATTTAAGCTAAATCATGTCTATATTCTATTATATGTAATTTTATTAACACAGGTTACCATTAATAACCGGTGGAACGATTTTAATTATTTTATCGTCATTTTTTATCTGACTTATTTTAGATCGCATTCATGAATGTATTCATTTGGCGCCATTGCATAGCAATATATCACCAGAACAATAATATTTGTATCTATTGTCTGTAAGATATTCAAACTGTATTAAAACGTCAGAACGCTTGAGCGGTGTTCTAGTAGGATTTAATATTTTTTTATCCGATCAAGGACCGAATTTCGTAGATAAAGAAATGACAAGCATCTGTAGACAATATATATACACCTAAATTGAGTGCATTCCAAAAGTATATTTACGTATATATTTGATAAATATATGTGATATTGTAGAATGCTCTATAATTAATGTTCTATAATGTAAATATGCAATGTCCTGAGAATGTTATTGTATTAATAAAATGTTATTCATACCAAACGTATTTATTTAACAGTTCGAGGGGAGTAGCGTATGTCATCGGCTGGATTAAATAATATGGTCTAGTAAAATTAACTTCGCAACCCCTTGAACGGTAGTCGATGTTGGACTATGGAGAATTAATAGAACGTTCAGCGATATTCCTTGGCGGAGATAAAGAAAAAATCTTTTCATCAGAAATAGCGTTACCAAGTTCCCAGCTCAAACGGATAACGCAGCTCTGTTAGATATTTGCCTCTTCGTCGTGACGACATACGCGAAATCCTGGTTACGATGCACTTTAGCGGTAAAAGCCTCTAACCAGAAGGCTTACGAAAGAATTGACAAAACCAAATCACAAGCGGCTTTACAAAAGTTCTGCCAACATTTATGGTATTTGACTATTCGTCAGAGCGGTCCGGTGGACTTTTGCTCTTAGTTAAAAGTCTCGTCGGTCTGTTAGTCTGGCTACCCAGATACCAAACATGTTTAAGGTGACAAGGGAAAGAAGGAAAGAAAGGAAGGAAGAAATAGAGCAAAAAAAAGAAGTAAATCATTTGAAATAGCTTAAGCATTACTACTTTGACAACTCGAATTATTTTCTAGCTCCAAAAAATAATTTTGATCGGTTTTGTATACTGAAATAATTTTGGCTAGTCTGAATTTACATTTTAATTTTGATCACAAGGCGAGGTGCGGCCTGGAATGTTTGCGAACTTGCTCGACTGTGTAGTCTACTGAATCACGCAACAGAGGGTTGCTGTGCGATTCGGCTTGATTATAACGCCGCTGCGCATGTTCTTTTACATAATCCCTTAGATATGGGATATCAAGATCTCTGTGAATGGTCTCATTTGACACGTACCAAGGGGCGTTAGTAATTGTGCTAAGGGTTCCGTTTTGCAGGACTTGCAGTCTCTGCATGTTCGTCTTGACAAGAAAACACCTAGCCGCGCATGCGTAGGTGATTGCGGGTCTCATGACCATTTTATACAACCGAATCCTGTTGATAAAACTTAATTTTGAATTTCTGCACAACAAAGGATAAAGCTGCCGAAAGGTAATTTGGAATTTTGTTTTCAAAATATCAGTATGTTTCTGCCAGGTCAACCCGTTATTGTCAATGATGACTCCAAGATACCTGACAGATTGCTCCCATGGTATACGAGTTCCATTCCAATTTTGATCAACCACCGATTCGCCCACTCCAATACTTCCTCCACCGCACTCTGCAGCCTGTCGTGAACCAGGTTACCAGAACAAGACTGGGCTAGCAGTGCAGTGTCGTCAGCAAAGAGATAGACTTCACAGTTGCAGGGGCAAGAAACGTCATGTATATAAAGTGAATAAAGGATTGGTGCGAAGACCGAACCCTGAGGAACACCGGCTCTTACGGGCCGTGTTGTTGACAACACATTGTTAATGTTGATCCGAAACTTCCTTCCTTCTAGAAAAGATTTCAACAGTTTTAGTAGCCAAAATGGAAAACCCTTTTGGATGAGCTTATACAAGAGGCCCATGTGCCACACCTTGTCAAATGCCTTTTTATACATCTAAAAGCAAGATACCAGTACTTTTGTTCAAGGTGAATTCCCTGGTTACATGCTCCACCAGTCTAACTGCCTGTAGCTCCGTACTATGCTCAGACCGAAAGCCGAATCGCACGTCAGGAACCACATGGTGATCTGACGAGAAATTCTCAAGGTGACGATAAATTACCTTTTCAGCGGGCTTAGAAGGAGCTGACAGCAGACTAATGCAGCGGTAATCCTGGGGGAATATCGAACCGGCCTTCTTTGGGATCATGATGACCTCAGTGATCTTCCACACCTCAGGCAAGTAATTAGTTCATTGCATTGATTATTGCCTCCAGATAAGTTAAAGCCTCGATCGAAAGCAACTTCAGTGCTTTGTTGGTGATTTGATCCTCTCCAGGTGCTTTACGCATCTTTAGGTCCTTAATGTGGCCTTGGAGCTGAGATTCATGTGAAGAGTCTTCCGTAGAATAATCTTCTGAAAAGGAGTCACCGATGTTGATATCGCCATTCGCTCTGAAATATCTCCTTACAGATCTTACAATTTGTCGTTCCTCGTCAAGGTCATTGTCCATATCATAATTGGGAGGAACCTGCCTTTCCATTACGTCAGCACTTCCACTTTATCCTCAGTCCTGGAAACTATACCTCCAGGATCATGAATATGTGGTAGTTGTTCTTGCCTTCCGTTTCTGAGCGATTTTGCCACTTTCCAGAGAGAAATACTTGATTCAAGCATCTCCCCCAGAAAGTCCTTCCATTGCTCATTGCGGAATTCATGGAGTGCGTTTCTCACTTCATGGACGAGATTCGTCGCTCTACGTATTTGACAGATCGTATCTCTGTTTGACGGCGACGTAGATGAGAAAACTGAAGTAAAAGCTGTTGCTAATTTAGCCAAAGAAAGTCTATCAGCACACGGTAAACGCTACATCCCATCGAAAGAAGCCCACTTTATGGAAAGTCTGATGAATCGATTTTCCTTTGTCTTCTTTTACTGCTTCCAATCAAAAGTGTCCTTGTTCAGTCGACTCAAAACTGATAAGAGGTTTCTCGACGAGAGTCCAACTTCATGGTCACATAATGATTCTTTCCAACGTGCTAAGAATAAGGTGCAAACGCTGACAGCAGTTAAAGATACGGAGAAAGAGCAGTCAAGTTAATGCGAGGCTTCCATGGCTTAACCACTGCTGATGAGGAACAAAAACAATTTGTATGTTGCTTCAATATTCTGACTGTAAAGAGAAAACTTATGGTTCTCTGATCGCAATATTTTTTTTTGAGTTAGAGTCAAATGGAAAAAATTATAGGATATGCTTATTTCAAATCAAACATTTATTTGCCCTCATAGGCAGGGACATCTTTTTGGATAGGGAGCATCAAGACTCACAAAACAAAGTTTCTATGATGGGCCCCGCCTTTCTGCTTTTCCACTCTAAACAGTTTTAGAGGAGAAAGTTCCTCTGCAGACGCTCAAATACGCCCCTGAAGTGAAAGTGGGCAACAGGAAAACTAAAAGGATTATAATAAACGATTTTATTTATAAACAACAACGGTATAAAAGACACTGTTAAAACAATCATTTATGACAAGTTTCCAGCTATTTTTGTCAATTTGGCTAAATTATTTTCATCTAATGTCAAGCTTTTATGTATTTTAACACCTAACTCCTCCACCTCTGGAAAGCCACTATCAGAACAATACTGTAAACATGCCTGTAATGAATAAATACAGTTAATATTTAGAGTTCAGACTACTACTAACTTAAGCTATAACATCTTTTTCATGTATAAAATCCAAATAACAAAACAATAAGCAAATAGATGATTTACTTACAATGGCTCTACTCGGCATCTTGTTCTCTATACAACTATCAATGAACATTGACAATGCTTCAATTTTTGGAACCCCAACAATAGTATGTTGTTCCTGATCCAATTTATCAAAGATAAGACAGGCTTTTTGGAAATCTTTGTTCCATAGGAGAAGAATCATTACTTTTCCTAACTGATCACCAGTCAACCTACAACATCAAAATAAGGTCTGAAAAATCTATTTGTAATCTTATTTATGGTTGTTATACAAGTATCTAATTCACTTCTCTGACTCTCATTATCCAGTCAGAAAAATTATGGAATAGTTTCCTCGTAAAAGTAACAATGTTCAGACATCCTGAAATTCTGGCATTTATGTACTAAAGTTATTTGGGGAGCATAAACTATAGGAAATAGGAACAGTTTGAACTAAATAGTTAATAGATCAAGATTTCTAAGCAAATTATTATCATATGGAATGTGTGATAAAGTTCACAACTGGTTTGATTATTACCGGAAAAATTGCTCTCAAATTACAAAATTGAAGATAAAATTAAATTTCATGTTATATCCATAAGTATTTGGTGATAGAAAGAAAGTTTTCTAGTTATCAATATTTTAATTTTTGAACTATGTGTTATCAATGTTGCTCGATTTTTCTCCGTTTTTTTTTATTATGGACTCCAAAGAGGATTTCAACTTTGTAAATAGTTTTTTCATGGCTTGAAATTGTCATAGAATATTATTTGTAATGAAGAAAATAAACACTTTGAAAGCTCCACATAATGGACAGAGAACAAACTTTCTTTCTGGCTTTAATTTTTGTGCAGTGTGATGACTAGATCCTCAAGATCCTTGCACTTTATCTTGACTTTGTAACTAGCCATCCAAGACTACCCTCCCCCTCTCTCCTCCGTCATCTACTATACCATGAGATGATCATCATATGTGTGTTCTTACCTAAGCTTATTGAATCTATTATCTCCTTCATCTTCCAGTCTCTTAAATAGATCCCATGCAATGCATGAAAATACTTCAATTAAATTCGATTCGGCTTCAGGTTTATTACTGTCGAGGATGTTTAAAATGGACTCGATCAAATTTTCTCTATTGATATGATCAAAAATGATCATATCTGACCATAGCTGAGCTACATATTCTACTGAGCCATTGAGGTCAACTTGTTTCAGAACTTCAGCCATCACTCCTGGTTCTGGCACATATATATTTGGGACTAGCATGTTATAGATGTTCTGCATGAATTCTTCAAATGGCATGTTATTCATCATCAGCCCAAAATAGTGACGGCTAAAACAAAGACAGAATTTTGTTAATAGTTTACAACCCTTCATTTTATATAACAATATCCAAGCAGGTTTGTGAGTATGGCCTTGGGCCCCATCTCCTACAACATCCTGGGGATCTAAAGAGATGTCTAAAGACATCAGGTACTGATACATTTGAGAGAGTGCTGACACAAAATTTACTCTTTTGATGTCGTTTGCACAGACACATTTCAGGCTCTCCCAGTATCTAATGAATGAGACCAGGTGCCTCATTGCTATACACAATTGGTGCCTGGTTGTTGAGGCAAATTGTTATTCTTCCCCTAACACCATCCCACTTCTAAATATGATATGCACAATACAGAATCGCATTTTGCGTCTGCAATGCCTGATTAACAACTTACTAATAAATAGACTTGTTGTAAGAATCACCAATCAGATTTAAAGAGATGAGTAAAGACATCAGGTACTGATACATTTGAAAGAGTGCTGCCACAAAATTTACTCTTTTGATGTCCTTTGCGCAGACACATTTCAGGCTCTCCCAGTATCTAAATGAATGAGACCAGGTGCCTCATTGCTATACACTATTTATGAGGATCCTCACATTAAAAAGTTAGGTCATAAGTTACTTATACACATTTGGTGTCTGGTTGTTGAGGCAAATTGTTATTGTTCCCCTAACACCATTCCACTTCTAAATATGATATGCACAATAGAGAATCGCATTTTTCGTCTGCAAGGCCTGAATAACAACTTACTAATAAATAGACTCCTTGTAAGAATCACCAATCAGATTGTAATTGTTTCCAAAATGCAATAATTTATGAACTCTTCTTCCAAGCTCCACATCATTCAATTGACTCCTACAAATATCCATGGCAGTTACAAAAAAATATGTGTCACTCAAATCCAGACAGTGATGTTCTTTATTTTCAATTTCTGGCATAATATCATGCAAAACTGTGCTTATAGGTCCCCCTGTAAGAAAAAACTCGAATTACAGTTGTGCTATTCATCCTTTGGTTTTTATATATGTTTCATATGGTGAAAAAGTAACTCCTCCAATCGATTGCTCTACTGTAACAAAACTGTTCAGGACTGCCAGATAATCTTATTGCAAAGAACCCATGTAAGGAAAAACAGGAATACTCACTTTCTTTACAAAATGTGATCAATATATAATACCAAGAGCCTAAGGAAGGTTCAATACCAAGACCCTTGAATTCCTTCAAAACTTTCAATGCCAAGTCTTTTTGATTTTTCCCTCCTCCCATAGTACTCACTGAATGTAAGGCAGAATTAAGTGTAGTTAAATTTGGTTTTACTTTTGCCTCATTCATTTTTTGCAGTAATTCTTCAGTTAGTGCCCACTTCATTTCAAAACTTTCTTTCAGAAAGTTCACAACTCTCAAGAGAGAACTGTAGGCATCACTTGTAAGAATAAGCCCTTTCTCCTGAGATTCCTCATATAAATGCCATGCCTTGTCCACTTGAAAATATTTGCACATTCCTTGTATCATTGCAGAATATGTTTCTGCTGTTGGATTTTCAATGCTTATGAATATCTCTTCTGCTAGGCTATTGTCTCTGGAAATGTAAAGTTGCATATGAAAAAACTACAGTCAAAATGAACAAAATAAATTATACGAGCCCCTTCCCACTTCAGTTGGCCCAACAATTGAAATCTTTCTTATCAAACACAAATAATAAAAATGTAGCAGGGTGTTATAAGTTTAAAATATTAACAATGAATATTTTGATAATATATAGTAGAAAACACCAACTTTATCACTCCCTAATCAAATTTGCAGCATAAAAATAACACATGTTGCAATTGTAGTCTATAACGCATAGGTGGCTGTGAAAAATAAAAGCCATGACAATTGATTAATCACAGCTGGTTCTACAAGTTCTAAGACAACATCCTGCTCGTACAATCACCGAACTGAGACAAAAGCTTCAAGAAATATGGGATTGTTTTACAGCAAATTTTTGCCAAAACTTGGTTAACACTATGCCCCAAAGAATTTCAGCCATAATAAAAAATAAAGGTGATGTTACCCAATGGTTGCTTTATAACTTCGCGCATTTATTCGCACATTGTTTATTTGTTCAGATGTTCTATTAGTTATAGGTCTAAGTGATTTCAAATATGTATTTTTTACGACTAGAGTGTATCTAAAATGTTTGTGAGAAAATAAATTGTTTTAGAAGTAAATAGTTTTGTCATGTTTAGTTTATAAAGGCATATTTTGGTACAAATCTTGAAGTGGGCCAACTGAAGTGGGAAGGGGCTGGTATTTCAATGGTGCCATATCATCAGAACTGACACTACAAACCCACCTTTAACTTGTTACTTAGTGCTATCAGTAGTGAGTTCTGTGTTAAATTACATTAGGCTTGCCTGACGCATTATGCACCAAAATAAAATATTTATATCTTTCGGATATTTAGGCTGGTGTTCAATGTGTTAAGATCTTCTTATTGATAAAATATAAGGTTACTATATATTTGGGTAAATTTTTGTGTATATTGCTAGTCCGGTTATTAATTATGCTGAGAAAATATGCATAAACATACTCACTTCCATATTTTTCTTTGCTTCTCTTTGGATTTTGTAGTTTGCCTGAACCACCTCTCTTCAATAAACTCTTCCGACAGTATATCTGTATCATTAGTATAACATAATAACTCTAGAAGCGCTTGTCTTGTCTCTTCAGATATATCAACGCCTTTGTCTTTTAGCAGTTTATAAGCCAACTGTGCTTCAGAAACTAATACATCATCTATAACTTGCTTCAAGTTGTCCTCGGTAATATCACTTTGCTCATTGAACGAAACCACTGGTAAAAAGGCTTTTATAACTGGATCAGCCTCTCTATGATTGAACAGGTCAGCATGCTCCTTTCTGATCCAGTGAGCAGCTTTTCTTCCAGATTCCTGAGCCATTGCAAATGTTCTTTTACCCATATTGGACATTGGTATGAGGTATGGGTCATCGTGATACTTGTAATGGGCAGCTGTTGGATCTCGTGAGATAGTTGCTTCGAGAGCTCTTAGGATATCGGTCGGGCCTCTGTGAATTCGCTTCGGTATCTCTATTTTTTCTTCAGCTTCGGCAGAGAATAGTCTTTGAATGAATGAGTTTATTTTAGGGGTGATGTGCAAACTGTTGTACCTTAAAAAACACGATAAATGAAGTTTCAGTCTACTGTACCAGAGCGCCTACCTTTTGAGAAATAGCTGAGAATTCAACATTTTCCAAACAAAATTTAAGTAATAATTAGGAATAATACTACATAACCTAGCAATTCCACAAGCGAAATCACTGCAATTTGAAGGAATGAGAGAAGCGAAATACTTTTATGTTCCAAGTGGTTGGGTGATGAGTTGGGTACACTGGTAACGCTAGTAACTATTTTTCCGTCGTCAGTGGCGGTAACACTGCTTTGAATTCTATGCGCTGATGCCAAGTCATCATATATGACGCATATTTTTGTCTGTTGGATGAATAAAACGTGTATTTTTTGTAACTATACTGTAACTATCTAAAACTGTAATGACTCATCGATGTTCACGTGAACATCACTTAACTACCAGTAGTCGGCTGTTCATAGGCGGGATATGAATGTTTAACATGGGTGAACTAGATTTGTCACATGCTTAATAAAGAGTGGTTTGAAACATATTGTAAGTCAAAAATTTGGGAATTACCTTTATTCATCGTCGCTTCCACTTACATCTGACAGTAATAAACTGTCGCTATCGCTTTCTTCGTTGAAATTGACTATAACTGGCTCTATGATGGTGTCGATGTGGTGGTCAAGCTGCCACATTTTTGTTTCTTCCTTCACAACATGCCGGATAGCATTCTGCCAAGCTTCGGGCGTTACTAGCTGTATGGAAGTCTCAAGTAAAACCTTAACGTCAGGTAATTTGAAGATTGTGTTATGGCGCGCAATATAACCCTTCACTTGGGCCCAGATGAGCTCTATTGGGTTCAGTTCACAGTGGTAGGGCGGTAACCGCAGCCCAGTGACACCACATTGACGGGCCATCTCATCAGTCACGTAACTAATGTTCGCAGGTTTGTGCTGTTTAATTTTTTCATACAATTCCGCTTTCACACATGAATCGTCAAACAGGATTCCTTTTTCGCGCAACCATTGCTGCATGTCACTTTTTCGAGATCCCATAGTCGGTACACGTTGGGCTCGACGACTATGGTAGGAAGTATTATCCATGAAGATCAAAGAGTTGGGCTCAACTCGCTGAAGCACCCCTTGAAACCAGCTCTCGAAGCAGCTGGCATTCATGTCGTCATGGTAATCACCTCCTTTCTTAGAGACGAAAATCAAGTCACACTCTTCTAAAAAGCCACTATCGCTACCAATATGAGTTACGATCAATCTTTGACCTTTCCCTGACGGTCCACGAAGACCTGTTGACAAATCTTCAATGCTTGCTTGTCGGTTATTCACTACGTTTTTGTCTATCCAGGTTTTTTAACTGTGTGACCTGCATTTACCCATGTCTCGTCCAAATAATAGATTTTTCTGCTTTGTCGCCTATATTCAATCATTTCGCGTAGGTATTTTTGACGCCAGGCGACTATTTCAGGTCTCTCTATCAATACTGACTTCCGATTACGCGTTTCGTAACGAAAATTAATTTCGTGCAGGGATTTCCTCATTACCTCGACGCTCATTTGGGGTATAATTTCATTTTCGTTGATCGCTGCATGTACAGCCTTGAGGGTTGGTATCTCATTCCTAAAGAAGAATGAATGTACGGTTCGCTTTAACGCCATTTTGCTATCGTCATCCAATTTAACGGCCTTTCGTCACTTCAAATTAAACTTTGGATCAGTAGTAGCTCCAGTTTTCTTCTTTTCATGCACCACCCTGCGAATGGTCCACTCTGGAACGCCTGTCATACTTTCACAACGCGCGAGTGCATCTCCCTGCGACATAGTTCCGTTCAGATAATTGAACACGTTGAGCACGATTTCTTTCGCGTCCCTCTTCAGTGCTCTACGAAGCCGTCTACTTGTTCCCTGGCCTTCAGTACTTCCACTCGTGCCATTTGTACTCTCCATGGTTAAGTATAACCAAAACAGTAACCACAGAAACACAACAATAACAATCACACAACAATTCTTATAAAAACACACAATATGCGATCGCTCAACGAAACACGTTCCAATGCGTTTCCGACGCCTATGAGTCTGCCGGTCGAGGCGCGTCTTTGATTTCATTGGTTGACTGAACAGACTGAATCAGCCATTATTTCCATCTCTGTCTGTGCTGTTGACCACCGCAAAGCCCCAGAAACGACATATGTCGTACGCTATACGGCTGTACTGGAAGGAAGCCGGGATCGAGCTCTGATCACGTGTTGATCACGCGTATGAGTCATTACAGTTTTAAATAGTTGTAGTATAATATCGCACTATCATAGTTAATAAAAATCTATACAACTGCAATGAGCTTATTCTGTTTGCTTTAAGTGGCGAGATAGTACTAGAACGTATTCTTATTCTAAAAGCTTTTCTTCTCATCTAAGCCTATATCTTCTTATTTTGGACTCCTACTGCTCACATCCCATACTTAGCTAACGCAAGAATTCTCATTAGTTATCCATACCTCAAGAGCAAAATGCAGCATCATGCATATCAAGTGTAGAACTGAGAGCCAGGCACATGCTGCAAGAAGTTGCCACGTGCAATCGTGGTGCACGGGGTACATGTTTCAAATATTCCTTTTTCCTCGGTAGTTGGAACATTGAAAATGTTAGCGTCTCATAGATAGCGGTGTAGGCACCTCGTATATGCTCATACAGTTTTGACTACACCGTCATCCATGGGACACTAACTTTTTCAAAGCATTTATAGTGAATTTTTTGGACGATATGTCCTTAGGAAGCATTGCCTGTACATAGGCGATACGAAACGCTAATCCCTCGTATTATCGAAAGTTGCATTGCTGTGCGTTGTATATTCTGAGTGGTTGCTTCAAGGAAAAAGTCTGGCAACACTGCGTCTGGTTTTCAAATAAATCTAGTAATTTTCGCTTTGACTGATTGGTAGCTCAATGACACAGGCGTGTCTGTCAAACTCAACATTTGTAATGTTGGCAAAGGTGTGTAGTGTAAGTCGTTCATAAGAACTGTCATTTTGTGTGTCTGAATTACCCATTTATTGTGTATAATTTTGGTGCTAACATACTAAAAGATACTTTAAATAAGTGTTTTTATGTCGAAGAAAGGTGTATATACAATTCGCGTAACGTGATCTCACGGCTGTACCCGAATATTTACACATAAGGTAGGTTAGAGGAGTTCAATGTTTTTTCATCATGTCAAAATGCGTCATTGATATTATCCAAATCATTCCTCATCAAGGAAGAAATTCAGGTTCTACCAGACCTGTTGATTAGTTTTAATCAATCCTCCGATTCGGGCTCGTCTGCAGTGCAAGCAGAAAATTTTTCTAGCGCAGCTTTGTCCCTAACAGAATAGAAAACTTTCGTATCAATACGCCCCCACTAGTTTTATTGCGATAATATTTCCACACTTACACAGTTATTTTACAATTACTTCAATGCATCTACTTCCACATTAGCGCTCAGGCGTTGTATGAATTCCTAATTGTAATGAGTTGTAGATCCTGCATCCTTTATGCTCTGAGTAGAGATAACAAGATTTTGATAGTACTTTTTATCAGATGTTTTGTTTCTAGTTACCTTTATTATCTGCTCTCTGTTATTCAAATAATGAGGAATGATAAATAAGATGTTTGTCTAGAGTCTAGATTTTCCATTCTTGTGGTTGGATGTTTGCATTTGGTTTATGTACCCACTTTTTATGGTTGCAATGAAATATATTACAGGAAGTTGTGGTAAAATTAATGTACAATTGAAGATCAATTTATTTGGGGTGGCCTATATTATTTGTGGCAACAAAGGATCTTTGTGGGGTTTCCATCTAGTCATATTCTTATGGCTATAGTATATTTATAAAACTCATTAAAATAGAAAATGTAGTTGATGAAATAATTTAGATAATTGAAAGGAACTATAATTACAAACAAATCCCTCGAGTCATACACATTTTTTTCCTCTTTTTAACTATGTACACTGATTTGATTAACAGTTTTCAATTGCAGTTTTTTCCACTTGTTTCCCAATTGTACATGTTGATATTAATAATAGAGATGGCTAAAACCTAGATATATATTTAAGTTTAATGTTTTTAGAATTTTGTAATTGCTTATACCTTTAAGGTATCCTGCAGGTGAAGGTTTCACTTTTAGTTACATATCACCATTTTTTATGACTACTCATACACATGATTGAAAGCTTCATTTTAATGATTATATATATTATTGGGCAATATATCCTTTTATAAAGAGATTGGTAAAACATGACATTAAATGCATTATTTGAGCATTAGATGTACTCTTCATCCATACACCATATACAAAAGTCTAAGAGGTTATTGGTGTCCTTGGTAACTAGTAAAATAGACATCTAAAAGATTCATATAGTTTCAGTATATTTTACTTCATTTAATGAAGTTTATTAACCCAGTTATCTCCATGGTTTGTCACCATTTTTGATAAAACTCAACTATTATGAATTTGATAAAGGTTTGGCTTAGCAATATTTATTTTTTTCATGTAAAAATGATGAATGTTTTTTTTTAAATACATAAATTCTGCCAAACCCTCTGAATACAGATTCAGTGGGAAAAAATGCAGAACTTGTATTTTGATGTATTTGGTATATTTCTTGGATGTTTGTAAATGTGGAAATCAATATACATTTCACATTATCGAAACCGGACTTATATAATATTTGATTTATCAAAAGAAACGTTTAATACATACTATTTATAACAAAATAAACAAATATTCTAACAACGATAAGTATTTTTTTAATTAGAAAAAAAATAATTAACAATTTTTGTCTGCGTAAATTTGCGCTTAGCATTGTCTTCCAATGCCTGCGCCCGTAATTTACGAAGAACTAAAATATCCGTGTATGAAACTTCTTTTCTTTCAGCCCAATCTAAAGCTTGGTTAAAAACTTGTATAGCTTGCGCGTCAGTCACTCCACTTAATGGGATAGTTCTCATCGTCCTCACGTCCATATCCTCCTCCTTATCAGCATCATTCATCTGCTTATCTTCGTTCCATAAATTAATATCAGCAGGAGTACAAACAATGTTGGGATTCACTGTTTTCAATAAATCAACAACATCCAATGACACACTAATAACATTATCATTATTGGATCGCAAAGGTTCTCTAATTACGCTTAAGGGGACATCATCTTCTTCATCATCTTCATTATTGGTACAAAAGAGATTGTTCCAACATTTTTGAATAGTTTGCTGGTCAAGTTCATTCCAGGCTATATGTAAATCTAAAACAGCTTCTCGTAATGTTACTTTTTTTAAAGCCTCAGATAAGTTTTCAGGATTCTTTGATAAGATAGACAAAAGTAGAAACTTCCTATAGTATAGTTTGGTGAGTCTTATTAAATTCTGGTCCATCGGTTGAATTAACGGTGTTACATTGGGCGGCATGTACATGACGAAAATTGACCCATCCCTGCTCCTCAGTTGTTGCTCGGGAGGATGACTTGGTGCATTATCCAATAGTAACAACGCTTTTATTGGAAGCTTCTGTTGTTTTAGGAAACCTTTTACCTGCAAATTGAAAACACATCTTCAAATTATGAATAGAGCATTTGTGATAATTGATTGTCATACCTGAGGGACAAAGCACCTGTGGAACCATTTCAGGAATATACTGCTAGTCATCCAAGCGGTTTTTGAACAGTCATAATCAACAGGGATATTAACATTTTTAAATGAGCGCGGATTTTTTGCTTTCCCAATTACCAGTGGCTTTATTTTGTGTGAACCATTAGCATTAGTGCGGGCTAGAAACGTTATTCGTTGTTTCTCCGGCTTTCTTCCCGGGGCAGATTTTTCAAATGATGCAGCATAGGTTTTCTCTGGTAACATTTTCCAATAAAGGCCACTTTCATCTGCGTTGTACATTTGTTCCATTCTTAAATCTAGCTCGGTATTTGTTTTCATCAATTTTTCTTTGAATGGTTGCACTAATTGTGGTTGTGCTGGGAATTTTCCATTTTAGGTACCATCGCATTTTTTAAAGTTTTTCTTTTTCCCGGACCTCCAAATGTATTGCACGTTCTTTGTAAAATTTGAGTTTTCATACGCTTAATTTTACAGATTGTTGCTTTTGATACTCCATATTTTTTTGCTAACTGTGTCACTCCCGCACCTAGTGCAACTTCGTCTATGATTTTCACTTTCTCACTCAACTTTAAACAATTTCTTTTATAGGATGTGGATGCCATAGTCGTAAAATATATTAACGCGTGCAATGTATTCACTTAAGTTCAAAAATGAAATACATACGTACGTATAAACGTATCCTAAACGATCATACGACTGACCGAGTTTGTCGTATTTTATCGCAGAGGTGAATCCCCTACACTCTACATCATAAATCGGGGACTCCCCGACGCGCGACATAAATCATCGAGGCTTCAGCATTTTACCGTCGCGCTGTTTCCGTGCGCCGAGAGTTGTTTACGTTATCGAGCGTACACATTGTTTACGTTATCGCGCGTTCCGTTTGATCCTACAGAACGAAGTTTGTCTTTACAAGTTTTCATTATCCCGTGTTTACGTTATCGAGCGTCTGCTGTATATTTTGTGAAAAAACATAAAAATGCTGCTTATTCAATCTCGTTCATGTATAAACTAAAATCTGAAGTTATATTAATTTTTCTTTCTATAATTAGATACTTGTTTAAGTAATTTGTTTTGCTTTTATGTACAAAGAAAACTTACCAAAATAAGTATTGTTATCCCTTTGGCTAAATCTAAATATATTTTATTATTGAATTATAATAATAGATTACCCCGTTAATGAAAGGTTGCATTTATTAACTGTTAGGACACAGGTAGTGATTTGTTTTTTCAAAGAATAACTTTTGTTATTTTATCTGCATATATATACTAAGTGACATATAAATCCGAACACCCAGTTTAAATGGTTTTATTTTAATAAAAGTTGGTGAATGTATTTATCTTACTGTAAATAACAAGTGAAAAAAATTTCAGCCTTATCAGTTGGACATTCCGGTTTTTATACTGCTTTTTTTTAATTCACTAACGCTCTAAAAATGAATATTTCAGCCGCAGTAAAGAATCAACGTTGGCGGATTTTGGTTCTTGACATCCTTTACGATCAGTTACGATGCCTAGAGTACGGAGACCTGTACGATTTCGTCAACTTAGTGAGTTTGATAGGGGCCGTATAGTGGGACTTCGGGAAGCTGGACTTTCTTTTCGGGCAATTGCAGTTAGAGTGCAAAGAAGTGTAGACACTGTGGTTAGGTGTTGTCAGGCATGGCTTCGAGAAGGCCGTATGCAAAGAGCAAGGGGCACTGGATGCCGCCGTAGAACAACAGACCGTGAAGATCGCCGCCTAAGATTATTGGCCTTAAGGGACCGTTTCTCCACTACCAGGTCCATTGCAAATGAATGGTTTGCAGAACACGGAAGACCTATTGGCATGCGAAGTGTTGACCGACGAATGAGAAGTTTTGGCTTGTTTTCATACCGGCCACACTGGGTCCTCCCTTTAACTCGAGAACACCGACGTAATCGCCTTGAGTGGTGCAGACAACGGTTACTCTGGGATCAGGAATGGAACAGTATTGTCTTTAGTGACGAGTCTCGATTTTGTTTGGGCATGCACGATGGTCGTGCCAGGGTTAGAAGGCGACGTGGTGAAAGGAGGAATCCACAGTTTTTTGTTGAAAGACATGTTCATCACACTGTTGGAGTTATGGTTTGGGGTGCTATAGCTTATGGTTCCAGGTCACCTTTAATCTTCATCAGAGGTAACATGAACGCGCAGCGTTATATCCACGAAGTTCTAGAACCCTATCTTGACACCCTGGCAGATCCAACTTTCCAACAAGATAATGCCCGACCACATGTTGCAAGAGTCACAATAGACTTCTTTCAATATAATGATGTCACATTGTTACCATGGCCACCAAGATCTCCCGACTTATCCCCAATTGAGCACGTGTGGGATATGATGGGTAGGAGATTGCTCAATTTGCAACGTCCTCCTCAGACTCTAGAAGCACTTCGAGAGGAGTTGGTGGTTGCCTGGAATGAGATACCACAGGAGGATATTGACCACCTGATCAGAAGCATGCCTAGGCGCGTTGGAGAATTCGTAGCACATCAGGTGCATCCACACATTGT